TCTTTTTTTAGTACATGAATACAGGAGAAGTGGTTACTAGCCCATTGCTCCCAGGCATTTAGTCGCCTTTCATACGACCACGCAAGGCTTACGGGAAAGAATCTTTTCCATTCCCCATGACAATAGAATAAATAAAAAAGAACAAGAGCTATTTAAAAACGGAAGAAAAACCTAGATGTATGTATATCTATATATATATGCATGTGCGTGTCTGTGAAGTGTGACCAAAGTGTAAGTAGGAGTAGCAAGATATCCCTGTTATCTAGCGTGTTTATGAGACAGAAAAAGAAACCACAATCCTACCATCCTTGCAAAACAAGTTACAGGTTTTTGTTTCACAGTCCATCGGCAGGACGGGCTGGGTGGTTGCTGTCTACCAACCTACTACCTACTCTCGGTAAACTTATTCCCCTATAATTTTTACAATCTCTTTTGTCCCCCGTCCCTTTATATAAAGGAACTATCCACACTCTGCCAATCCCTAGGTACCTTCCCCTCTTTCATACATTTCTTTCTTCTTTCTTTCAATACACTGGCCGAGGCGGGGTGGCCCAAAAGGAAAAACGAAAGTTTCTCCTTTTACATTTTGTAATATATACAGGAGAAGATGTTACTAGCCCCTTGCTCCTGGCATTTTAGTCAGCCTCTTACAACACGCATGACCTTACAGAGGAAGAATTCTTTTTTAAATAAACATTCATTATGGAGGTAAGAGAAAATAAACAAGAACAAGAACTCGTAAGAAAAATGGAAGAAAACCCAGAGGGGTGTGTATATACATATATGCCTGTACATGTATGTGTAGTGTGACCTAAGTGTAAGTAGAAGTAGCAAGACGCACCTGAAACCTTGCATGTTTATGAGACAGAAAAATGGACACCAGCAATCCTGCCATCATGTAAAACAATTACAGGTTTCCGTTTTACACTCACTTGGCAGGACGGTAGTACCTCCCTGGGCAGTTGCTGTCTACGAACCTACTACCTAGAACTCGGTAAACATATTCCCCTATAATTTTTACAATCTCTTTTGTCCCCCGTCCCTTTATATAAAGGAACTATCCACACTCTGCCAATCCCTAGGTACCTTCCCCTCTTTCATACATTTATTAAACAAAAATTCCAACCACTCCAACACTATACATGTATATCCTCCTGCTTTTAACATTTTTGTCATGATTCTGTCAGTTCCAGCTGCTTTACTCCCTTTCATTCTATGTAATGCCTCGTGCACCTCCCCCACACTCTCATCATACTCTTCTTCACTCCTAAAAGATATTATACCTCCCTGGCCAGTGCATGAAATTATCGCCTCCCTTTCTTCATCGACATTTAAAAGTTCCTCAAAATATTCCCGCCATCTACCCAATACCTCCAGCTCCCCATCAACTAACTCCCCTACTCTGTTTTTAACTGACAAATCTATTCTTTCCCTAGGCTTTCTTAACTTTTTTATCTCACTCCAAAATTTCCTTAAAATTTCGTGACAGTGCCTCTCCCCTTTTTCTCTATCACACACTCATTCTACCAATCACTCCTCTTTCCTTCTGCACCCACCTCCTATAGCCACATACTTCTGCCCCACATCTTAGTACTGCATTTTTTAAAACTATTCCAATCCCACTTCAACCCCCCTAAAAACTCATACTTGCACTAGCCCACCTTTCTGCCAATAGTTGTTTATATCTCACCGTTTTTTTTTAATTTTTTTTTTTTTTTTTTTAAAAAAATTTTCCTCCTAGATTATACACTTTCACCTCTCTCTTTCTTTCTGTTGCCATTTTCCTTTTGTCCCATCTACCTCTTACTCTAACTGTAGCTACAACTAAATAAAGATCCGATATATCCGTTGCCCCTCTATGAACATGTACATCCTGAGGCCTATCCATCAGCACTTTATCCACCAATACATAATCTAACAAACGACTTTCATTATGTGCTATATCATACCTTGTGTATTTATTTATCCTATTTTCATGAAATATGATGTATTACTTATTACCAAACCTCTTTCTACACATAGCTCAATTAAAGGCTTCCCATTTTCATTTACCCCTGGCACCCCAGATTTACCTTTTACTCCCTCCACAATATTTTTACCCACTTTAGCGCTGAGATCCCCAACCACAAGTACTCTCTCACTTGATTCGAAACTTCCCATGCCCTCGCTCAACATTTCCCAAAATCTCTCTCTCTCCTCTATTCTTCTGTCTTATCCAGGTACATAAACGCTTACTATAAACCACTTTTCACATCCAACCCTTATTTTACACCAACATAATCCTTGAATGTTTCATTACTTTTTTTCTCTTTTTTATTTTTTTATTATTGTTTTTTTTTTTTTCACTTAATTCCTCTGTTCCTGCCATAATTTATCCTTCAGCATTATTGCTACTCCTTTAGCTCTAACTCTATTTGAAACCCCTGATCTAATCCCATTTATTTCTCTCCACTGAGACTCTCCCACCCCCTTCAGCTTTGTTTCACTTAAAGCCAGGACATCCAGGTTCTTCTCATTCATAACATCCACAATCATCTCTTTCTTATCATTCACACAACATCTACAAACATTTAGACATCCCACTTTGACAGCTTTCTTCTTTTTCTTATTAGTAGGCTATACAGGAAAAGGGATTACTGGCCCATTGTTCCCGGCATTTTAGTTAACTTTCACAACACACATGGCTTACAGAGGAAAGATTCTTATTCCACTTCTCCATGGATATGAAAGGAAAAGCAATAAGAACAAGAACTATTAAGATAAAATCAAAGAAAACTCAGATGAGTGTATGTACAATAAACGTGCACAGGTCTCCCTCATCATTTGCGTTTTCCACTTTTGTGGGCTTTGAACATTCGCAAATTGCCAGCCGCCCAATCATATTTAAAATACGTCATTACATATGTTAGGAATTTTGGTGGTGGCAGAGTTTGTTTGGAGATAGGACAAGATAGTCCTTCAGTATGACACTAATATGAATTCTGCAGCTTATTTATCTATCACAATTCATCTAATATGACATAATAAACAATATTAATAACATAGAAACATGACATATACTCTAGAATGAATAAAATATGTCATTAAGTATGTCACGAGTGTTGCTGTGTTGTTGTTGTTGGGCGTATAAGGGCCACTGAGAGCATAAGCCGTACATAGTGGTGGAGGAGGCAGTAAAGACTAGAGACACTGGTGTTGTCAGTCGCCCTTTATAACTCCAACAATACTGGAGGAGTTAGGTTCGTGCTGTCCTTTTCCTATCAATTAATCGCTTAACTTACTTGCTACTCTGTTAATGCTACACTTTATTGCTGGCTGGCGCTATGACTTTTATTGACTCCTGCTACTTTAGTATCGTACGTATCGTAGAATCACTGAATCACTCCACTTTGGTACTCTGCTATGAATTCTTTTTTGATTTCTATAGTTTTTCTCACCTTCTTTACCAATGGGCTGGCACTAGTACAATATTTTACGATGTTTTCGTGTGTTTTATAATTGTTCATGGTTCAATAGGTTAAGGAAGCAGTATTGTTAGGCTAAGTAAATGCTATTATTATATCTCCCTACAACATATTTGTGCGCCAAACATTTGCGATTTTTCAACATTTGCGAGGTTCTTGATTCCCTAACCCTCGCAAATGTGGAGGTAGACCTATACATGTATGTGTAGTGTGACCTAAGTGTAAGTAGAAGTAGCAAGACGTACCTGAAATCTTGCATGTTTATGAGACAAAAAAGACACCAGCAGTCCTACCATCATGTAAAATAAATATAGGCTTCCGTTTTACACTCACTTGGCAGGATGGTAGTACCTCCCCGAATGGTTGCTGTCTACCAACCTACTACCTACCCATGACAGGCATATGACCTTTAAAAGAAATAGTGAGGCTTAAATGATGTTACACTATGTAAGTCCAAATCAAAACAGGAACAATTTGCAGCATAAAATTTTAAACAAGAGTGAAGCTCTTGTTGAAACCCAATTAACCCAAACACACAACACATTAAACAGGAGTGGAATGAATACTTACAGATTTGATGGGAGCTGCAAGTCAAGTGACTGACCACCGGTAGGAGAGAGACTCGTCACCTCCCACCGGGTACAGGAGGAGGGGTAGGGTAGTGGGAACGATGCACCCACCCTAACAGAACAAGCATACTGTCCAGTAAACTACCACCACCATTCATGCATACTTCCACCACTCTTATCTAATTAACTTTTCCCCCCTCACACTCTCCCATACCAAGACTTATAGTCAAGGAATGTGAGAAAAATTAGCGAGGAAAAAGCTCTAAAAAACGAAAGTTGTGTAATGCATGAGACAATATTTCAACTGACTGTCACGACTTGACCAGTCAGAGAAATAAACGAATCATGGATGTATCTGTTGCCAAATTTCACTTTTCCCAACAAAGAGTATGCAAGTTAGAGATCCAGAGCATCCCCTCAGCCCAGTAGAGCCACGGCAACTGTACTTAAAAAAAAAAAAAAAGTGTTATTTTGCAAAATTAAATATTTCTGAAACATACTCATTTGATGAGCCAAGATACACCCCTCACCCCCCCCCCCCCCATTTTTTTTTTATGACTCTCACTGAAGTAGGGAGACTTGAAATAGAGGAAACGCTTTCACCATCATCTATTCAGTCAATATCTTTCCAGAAGCATGCTGACATAACATTTCAGATAGCCCTCATTTTTTTCCTCATAATTACTTCACATAAAAATATTTTTTTCACAAGGTAATAGCTTTTAGTAATATATCCCTGCATTATGAAAAGGTTTATTGTATAGTGATTGGTAAGAAGTGTTATTTAAAGTGTGACCTTAATATTAACTTTCAGAATTGTGCTTATGTTCTTGAACCACAAAAAAAATAAAAAATAAATTATCAAATGTCAGTGGGTCTCAATTTTCTAGCATGATCATGTTTAATCGGAGTTCTTAAGTCCTCATTTTGAAAACTGAGTGATACTCCTACAGTTTACCTATTTCAGATGGCCAAAACTAGAATCTATATCGGAGAAGCTAGTTGATGTTTATCTGATGCTATCAGCTGGGCAACATGATGATGATCGAGATGGCGACAGCCATGCTGACGTTATGAATATGACTTCCATCAAGGTGTCTGGTCGTTTAGTGTCAACCCGTGACCTTAAGAAATGGTGCTCAAGAGTTTCCTCTCATGTTGATAATATAGAAATTTCATTGGCTAACACAGCATTCCAGGTAGTAGATTTTTCTCTAGTTACAATGCAGCCTCTCCTCACTCAACGACGGAGTTCCGTTCCTAAGACCACGTCAGTAAACGAATTCATGGCTAAGCAAGGAGCATGCTCTAATGGCAGTGGGCTTGTGTCAGTCATTTTTTTATATTGTTTTAATGTCACCTTTGCACTATTTATAACATTTTTAGTATATATTTAAATGTTTATATGGTAGTGTACTGTATATTGTAAGAAACAGAATAGAGAAAATCAACTTTAATATACATTATTTAGGTATGCATACTGGTCAGAGAGCCTGTCGTAAGTCCGAGTCATTGGTAAACGAGAATGTTGCTAAGTGAGGAGAGGCTGTATTTGATCATTTTTTTTTTTTTTTTGTGTATAACATTTCTATATATGCACACTTTTAACGATGCTGTAATTAAGATTCTTCTCAACATTTTCTTTTCTTGTATGTCCCTAGACATCATATGATAGAAGCCAGACTTCATTATCTGATACAGGAGGGCCCAGCTTATGAGGCGGGTTATTTTCCAGGCTACTGCCATTAAGTGAATTACCTTTTTTTTCACTCTTAATTATATATATAAATGCCTGATAACATGTTTACGCTATCATGTAATAAGTTAGCAATAGAACAAGGCATAAAAACAATAAAAAAGTAAAATGCATGTACAGTACACTTATTACTTACCTTAAAATATTTGTAGTTTTAATGTAGGTGAGAGGTAAGTAGTATTTATTGTAGGAAGTGAGGTGTGGTAGCTCACCCAGCTACCACACCTCACAATTATGTTAATTTGTTTTACTATGTATATGTTTTGTTAACGTTATCCATGGAGCCAAAGAAGGGAATGTACGATAGTATAGTGGTACCAACACTTATATGGGTGTGAAGCATGGGTTGTAAATGCTGCAGTGAGGAGGAAGCTGGAGGCAGTGGAGATGTCGTATCTAAGGGTAATGTGTGATGCAAATATTATACAGAGAATTCGTAGTATAGAAATTAGGAGGAGGTGTGGAGTTACTAAAAGTAGTATTCAGAGGGCTGAAGAGGGGTTGTTGAGGTGATTTGGTCATTTAGACAAAATAAAAGAAAGTAGAATGACTTAGAGAGCATATAAATCTTTAGGGAAAGAAAGGCAGGTTAGGGATCATCCTCAAAAAGGTTGAAGGGAGGTTTTGCGGGAGAGGGGCTTGGACTTCCAGGAAGCATGCATGAGCATGTTAGATAGGAGTGAATGGTTTTTGGGACCTGATGAGCTGTTGGAGTGTGAGCAGGGTAATATTTTATGAAGGGATTCAGGGAAACTGGTTAGCCGAACTTGAGTCCTAGCGGTGGGAAGTACATGCCTGCACTTTAAAGAGCATTGGTATAACTATACTCTCATACATTCCCCTTTCAGCTTCCATGGATAACATTCTTTGTCTCCACAGATTCCTCTGTGCACCAATCACTTTTTTTCCCACAATTCTATGGTTCACCTCATCTTTTGTAGACCTATGTGCAAACAAGTCAACTTTCAAATATCTGAAAATATTCACTGCTTCCATACTCTCTCCCTCCAATGTAATATCCAATTTTTCTTTATCTAAGTTGTTTGATACTCTCATCACCTTACTCTTATCTATGTTCACTTTCAACTTTCTACCTTTACACAGCCCCCCAGACTTGTCCACTAACCTTTGCAACTTTTCTTTAGAATCCCCCAAAAACACAGTATCATCAGCAAAAAGTAACTGCATCAATTCCCATTTTGTGTTTGATTCCCCATAATTTAATCCCACCCCTCTCCCCAACACCCTAGCATTTACTTCTTTTACAACCCCATTTATAAATATGTTCATTATTATAGTATATTAAACTGCTCCCCTAACTATTCCTGCATTATCTTTTCAGGAAGCTCTTGATTGCTTTTGTGCAGCAGTGCCAAATCCATCAACACACTTCACCTTTGCAGTACACATTGGTTCATTCATGAACTGCACAAAAGCAACAGTGGAATACTACTGCATGCAGTATAAACCGGAAGTAATGCATATGCCTGACCAGTTAATAATAGGCCAGAGAGCCAGGTTACATAAAAAAAATACTGATTACTTATCTATAGGTCTAAAGAAAACTGTTACTTTTTCATTGACAAGACCTGTAGCACTCTTGCTGGAGAGGATTGGTGTTGCAGTAATGAAAAAAGAACCAGTGTTGATTGTAGGAGAAACAGGTACAGGGAAAACATCAGCTGTACAGTATTTGGCACACCACACCAGAAACAAGTTACGTGTTATAAACATGAATCAGCAGAGTGATTCATCTGATCTCCTTGGAGGATTCAAGCCAGTCCAGATGAAAACTATTATCGCACCTGTACGACAACAATTTGAAGACCTCTTTGCTGTTACATTTTCAGCTTCTAAAAACAATAAATTTCTTGAACACATTATGGTGTGTTACGTCAATCAGAGGTGGAGTGACTTATTTACTTTGATGGAACATTCACAGGAACGTGCTGTGCATAAATTAAGTCATTCAAATGATACAGTAGAGCAGTATAAGCAAACACATACTAGAAGCATATTGGCTAAATGGCATAAATTTAGGCTCAAAATAGCAAGTTTGAAAGACCAAGTACAACATGCTCAGAGTGCCCTAGCCTTTTCCTTCATTGAAGGAACTCTAATCAAGGCTATTCAAGATGGTTAGTATTTCATTGATGTATTGTTATATTGTGGTATAAACTATTCTGTGCAGTAGTGGTTAATTGCTTGAATTTGGCAGCCAATAGGAATAATTTTGCTAAAAAATTATTCTTTGTATTTAGTCTTTTTTTTAGATTTTATTTTTTATGTTCCTGATTTCTCTCACTAAGGTAAGGGAAGTGCAAGCTCCTGGTACATAAAACCTCCTTTACCCCCTCCCTCCTAGGACAGACCCCTACCCTGCCTTCTCTTCACTACAGATTTTTATGTCCAAGTCATCATATTATTCCATCCTCTCTAAATGTCCAAGCCACCTCAGCATCCCCTATCCAGCCCTCTGGATAATACTTTTAGTAACCCCATACCTAATCTCCAAGCAATGAATTCTTTGCATAATATTCATTCATTACACATTGCCCTCGGACATGACATCACTGCCTTCAGCCTCATCCTTCCTGCAACATTAACAACTCATGCTTCATGCCTATATAAGAGCATTGGTATAACTGCACTCTCATACATTTCCCTTTTAGGTTCCATGGAAAACATTCTTTGTCTCCACAGATTCCTCTGTGCACCAGTCATCTTTTTGCCTCGTCAGTTCTGTGGTTCACCCCATCTTTCGTAGACCCATCTGCAGACAAGTCCACTCCCAAATATCTGATATGTAGTCTATCTTTACCTAAATTTTTCATTACCCTCGTCACCTTGTTCTTTCGAGTGTTCACTTTTAACTCCCTCCTTTTACATACCCTCCCAAATTCATCCACCAACCTTTGCAACTTCTCTTCAAAATCTGCCAAAAGCAGTGTCATCAGTAAAAAAGCAACTGTGACGACTTCCATTTTGTGTTAGTCTTTATCTACGCATTCCCACACCTTTCCCCAACACTCTTGCATACACTTTTCTTACAACCCCATCTTTATTTTTATTAACATGTTGGCTGTCTCCCACCAAGGCAGGGTGACCCAAAAAGAAAGATAAAACTTATATCATGTTCATGAATGGTATACAGCACCAACAAGATGAAAATTAAACACGTGCAACATCTGGGTATCTTTATTGTAGACGTTTCGCCATCCAGTGTCTTTATCAGTGCAAATTCAAGGACATAATTGGAAGATAAGAACTATATACAAAAGATGAGGTACTCAGTTTTTCAGCCTTAGAGTTGGCGTGTAGAGCACCGTAGTTGTGAAAAATCTGGAGCATAGCTAAAAAGGCTGCCGCTTATATACTTGCGTCAGGTAGAAAGGGACGGGTAGCAGACGAGGGCATAGTCACTGGTAGGCGGGATTCCCCAGTGGAAGTAAGTCATAACCATCTTCATGGCTACTTCTAGTACTACTACCACCACTAACCCTGGCCTACTTCCACTGGGGAATCCCACCTACCAGTGACTATGCCCTCGTCTGCTATCTGTCCCTTTCCACCTGATGCTAGTATATAACTGCCAGCCTTCTTGGCTATGCTCCAGATTCTTCATGACTACAGTGCTCTTCACACCAATTCCAAGGCTGAGGGACTGATTACCTCATCTTCTTTATATAGTTCTTGTCTTCCAATTGCAGTGGTACCCCGAGTTTCGTAGTGCTCCCAACTCAAACAGTTATGTAAGTGTATTATTGTTAGTGCTTTTGTAAGTGTAGTTTGGGGGTCTGAAACGGGCTAATCTAATTTACATTATTCCTTATGGGAACAAATTTGTTCAGTAACGGCAGTCGAACAGCCTTCTGGAACAAATTATGTACTGAACTTGGGGTACCACTGTATGTTCTTCTCTTTGTATTGATAAAGCCACTGGATGGCAAAACGTCTACAATAAAGATACCAAGATGTTGCGCTCTGTCTGCCCTGACCTAGTTTAATTTGTCCACCCTGTGGTTCAAGAGATATCAGAGTTTTTATCTTGTGTCCACACTCAACACAAAGATATCGAGTTTTGTTGGTGCCCAGGCCCTGTTGGTGTTCTGAGAAATAAAAGGAAAGATGGTGAGACAAAGGCTTCTGTAATGAAACCAATCTGTATCAGACTTTTGCCTCAGTGACTTTATGGGCCATGTACACATATGTCCTTGGGTCAAGGCAGTCTGTAATTATCACAACTTCTACTACACTCCTGCTCAAATGTGTGTTTATCTCAGTAAATATACATTGTTTACTTTAAACCTTATTTTAGGGTTTAACGTATCCTTAGTGATGTACAGGTTACATGTAGCCTTCATGTAGTTAATAGGCCTTAATCTTAATAACCCAACCAATATACACTCCACACATGTTAAAGACTTGTAATTTTTATTAGCTGAAACATTTTTCCTGCTCAATTTTAGCCTGCATATGAGAGAATGGGTCTTTGGGGTAAGTGTGCACAATATGGAAAATAATCCTGCTCCACACAGGGCATGGTGGGGAAAAACAAATCTGACCATGTGTATAGTTTAAAATTGTGACTTTGAGTTGTTTTCTCATATGATTTTCTGGTTTTATTGGCTGTTTCTTGTTTTCGTTTGATAGAATGGAAAATACATTACTGAACTAGAGATGATTTTGATTAGCTTCAGGTCCAGAAGTAGCTTGAAATTGAGCTCAAATTAGCAGAAAAATTCTGTGTTTGCTGGGTAAGGCCTCCTACACCCCTCTAGTCTTTTATATGGATTTTTAATAGGTTTGATCCAATTATTGGGACACCATAAACCATGAACAATCATTCCTGGATATATTTTATTATCTGAGAGTGGTAAATTATGAGGTTGGAGAATGGTTCTCCAAGGTGAGAGAGCACAGTATAAAAAACAATCCTGTCCCACCTGGTGCATGATGGGAAAAGCAAAATTCTGACCATCTATATAGTTTAAAATTGGGACTTTGAGCTGTTTTATTAGATGCTTTTCATTGTATTATTTGCTGTTTCTTGGTATAATTTGATAGAATGGAAGACATACTATTGAAATAGAGATGATCTTGGTTGGTTTCAGGACCAGAAGTTTGTATCTTGAAATTGGGCTCGGTATTCCTGAGGCTGGGTAAGGACTCTACACACCCGTTATATTTTATGGGATTTTAATAGCCCTGATTCAATTATTAGAATTCCGTCCGTCACCAATCATTTCATTCCTGGTTATATTTTATTTGAGAAATAAGAGTAATTTTGTGTGATTATGAATTCAAAATAGAAGGCAAGTGTAATACGTATAGGAGAGACCTGGAGACGTGATTAACCCTTTGAGGGTCGGTCACGTACAAGTACGTCATTACAGCCAGGGTCGGTCACGTACTTGTACGCCTAAATTCTAGCGCCTTCAAATCTGGTGGAAGAAAGCTGGCAGACATACATATGAAAGAATGGGTCTGTGTGGTCAGTGTACGTAGCATTAAAAAAATCCTGAAGCATGCTGTGCATAATGAGAAAAAAAACTTTGTGTTTTTGGCTTAATACAGCGACTTTCTAGTGAATTTTCGCATGGTATTTATGGTTGTATTCTCGTTTCTTTGGTCTCATTTGATAGAATGGAAGATATATTACAGAATTAGAGATGATTTTGATTGGTTTCACGATGACAAGTACCCTGAAATTGAGCTCAAAGTAGCAAAAATTATAAATTTTTGCCGATATTCAAGATTAAACAAATCAAGCCACGCGTCCAATACACATCAGCTGGCGAGTCTGTTCTTTCATAAGTGCGCTGATATCATTTATACCGTTTTTACAATGATGTAGTAGTATACATAACAGAAAACTTTCTATTTTCTGTGAGAATAAAAATTCAAAATGGAAAGCAAAAGTAATGTAAGAGAGGCCTAGAGACATGACTAATGAAAAGATAAAATGTTATTTTAGTGCCATGAATGTCTGTCTTGTTTATTTTGAACCCTATTTTGAAATTGGCATCTTAAATTTGTGTGAAATTTCCCAAATTGCCAATTTCTGACCATTTTATTGGGTAGTTGAAATCGGTAAATGGGCGGATTCTTGTACTCAATCGATAGAACAAATGGAGTTCTAGGGAAATAGCTATGAATTTAGTCAACTGCAACATTGGAATTGGCCGAAATTAGGGTCCAAAGGGGGCGAAATCGCCAACTTTGAGACCACTAACTTCGCAAGAGCATAATTCTGTAAGTTTTTCATCAAATTTCATACTATTGGTGTCATTATGATTGGAAAAAGATTATCATTTCATGAGAAAAAATTATTTTTTTTTTTGTTTTTTTTTTAAAAATTTTCGACCCTGAGAACGAGTTTGGGAGAGGGCCTCTCGACCCTCAAAAGGTTAATGGACGGAGGAAATGTTATCCCAGTGTCAGGAATGTCTACACTGTTTTGGACTGTTTTTCAATTAATATATTTCCCCAAATTACTTCCGTGCATTTTATAGGGTATTTTAAATAGTTGAATGCTCTGTTTCCTGTGCTCATTCAATAGAATGTAAGGCATATTGGTAAGATAGCTCAGAATTTGGTCGAATGGGGTAGTGGAATAGGCTTAAAGTAAGAATTAAGTGGGCAAAATCACAAATACATAAATTGAGCTAAGACTTTGTGCAAGCTTAATTTCATAAGTTTTTCATCAAATTTTATACATATGGTGTCATTACCTTCATAAATAGATTCTCTTCCATTTCAGAAGAAATATAAATTTTGAGAGTCTGGACAGTGAAAGTGTTAATACTTTTACCAGTATTCAGTCAACACTATATATATTCAACTGAAGAAGTCTGCTGTGCAGGCAAAATGTTTCAGCAAATTATTGTACAAATCTTATTCATCTACACTCCACTATTTTCATCACATTCATGTATTTATTGTACATGTTGCTGTATAGCCCTTGTGGCTTAGCGCTTCTTTTTGATTATAATAATAATAATTGTACATGTTGATATTGTATGAATGTGTACACCAGTTCTTTGGTGCTTTTATGCCAGTGAAGGTCTTTTGAACCAGGGAATTGTAGCTGTCCTCCACTTCATTCCTCTTTCCTTGGGGGCTGTTGATCACTCTTGAGTTAAACACTACTCATAAATCTAATAACAAAAGTAATTATAATAATAATTGAATGATAAAAAAAAGTCTTGTCATTTATTGCAAAGTTTGTTTATGTTACCAGACAAGCTTTTCATAATGAAAAGAGGATAATTGTTAGTTATAATATTGTTCAATGCTCCATGCTTTTGTGCTATCAAATGGTTTCCAAGTCATTATGTTCAAGTTAGATTAAAAATTCTTCTAGTTTATGATTGCTGAATTGTAACCTTGCATGTCATTTGTGTAATTTCTCATTACAGGTGACTTTATTCATGTAAATATGTTTAATATTTTTTTGTTGATTCAAATTATTGTAGATGCAATATGCTGTTTATAAAGGTTAACCATTTTGTAATCTGCCAGCACATGATATACCTTTATCTTATTGATAATTTTTTCATTGCCAGGAGAGTGGGTGTTGCTTGATGAAATAAACTTGGCCAGTGCAGAGACTTTGGAATGTTTATCAGGACTTCTGGAGTCTGATTCTGGATCCTTGACACTGCTAGAGCGAGGAGATTTCAAGCCTGTAGCTAGACATCAAGATTTTCGTCTTTTTGCATGTATGAACCCAGCTACTGACGTAGGAAAGAAGGAATTACCAGCTGGACTGCGAAACAGATTTACAGAGTTCTTTATGGGAGAACGTCAGAGCAAACAGGATCTAATGATTATTATAAATGACTATTTAGTTAAGGTATGTGATACAACTGTAAAACACAACTAACATTGATTTGAAGCAATCGTATGTACCTATATGATATTCTGTGTAGTACATTAAAGTATGTACTGTATTTCCTATCTGATACTTTATTTGGGTGAGGTGTGTAAAGGTAGAAAGTTGAAAGTGTACTTAGATAGGAGTAAGGTGATGAGGGTATCAAGTGATTTAGATAAAGAAAAATTGGATATCACGTTGGAGGGAGGGAGTATGGAAGAAGTGAATGTTTTCAGATATTCGTCAGCGGATGGGTTTATGAAGGATGAGGTTAACCATAGAATTGATGAAGAAAGGTGAGTGGTGCATTGAGGTATCTGTGGAGACAAAGAAAGTTATCCATGGAGGCAAAGAAGGGAATGTACTAGAGCGTAGTGGTACCAACACTCTTATATGGGTCTGAAGCATGGGTTGTAAATGCTGCAGCGAGGAGGCAACTGGAGGTAGTGGAGATGTCGTGTCTAAGGGCAATGTGTGGTGTAAATATTATGCAGAGAATTTGTAGTGTGGAAAATTAGGAGGTGTGGAGTTACTAAAAGTGTTAGTCAGAGGGCTGAAGAGGGGCTGTTGAGGTGGTTTTGTCATTTAGAAAGAATGAAACAAAGTAGAATGACTTGGAGACTGTATGAATCTGTTTGGGAAGGAAGGCGGGGTAGGGAGGTTGGAGGAGGGGGTAGAGGAGGTTTTGTGGGTGAGGGGCTTGGACATCTAGTAAACATGCATGAGCTTGTTGGATAGGAGTGAATGGAAATGGAAAGTACTATACCTGCGATTTAAAGGAGGGGTTTGGAACATTGGCAGTTTGGAGTGACGTCGAAGCTGTCGTATCTGAGTACCTCAGCAAAGACAGTGATTATGTATGAGTGATGGTGAAAATGTTGAATGATGATGAAAGTGTTTTCTTTCTTTTTGGGTCACCCTGCCGGGTGGGAGATGACTGACGTGTTAAAAAAAAAAAATGAAAGATGATTAGTAAATCTTACAAACTTCTACTTACATTCATTATATGCATATCTTTATTTTCCCATGTATACTTACGCTCAGTATACACATATCTTTACTTTTCTGTCTGCTTACATTCAGTATTCAAGTATCTTTACTTGACTATGTGCTTCTTAATAGTTCTTATTCCTGTAATATTTAATTTCTAAGCTTGGAGGCCTGGTCTGAGGCTAGGCCAATGGGAAAGATAATTGCCAAAACAACCAATAGATAAGTGTATGAATAATAGGTGTGCTATGCAGCAATATAAATGCATGAGTTTAAGAAAAAAAAGGAAAATAAGAAGTATACAGTTGGAATGTAAATGAAAAACTTGTTGGTTTATATATACACAGATAATATTTGGTGTACTTTATTTTGAAATACAAGGTAATTCATTGAATGAAAAATCTGTACAGTATATGGAAGTACATTCAGTTCCTTATGTAGCATAGGTGAGCAGTAGAAAAGTAGTAGCAGGTTTGATAGCAAGATTAGTGCAGTTTAGTTTAGAAAGTTTTGCACATAAGATATTCAAGAACAGAGATGAGTGTTAATTCTGTAAATATATTCCCTATTTCAGTTGGGTCCATCAAGCAAGCAAGTGAAAGGTATTAAGAACTTTTACAGGAAAGTAAAGGAAGATTCAGAAGTAAAGCTGACTGATGGTACGGGTCACAAGCCACATTACAGTTTACGCACCCTCTGCCGTGCACTTACTGTCGCTGCCAGGAACCCCTGCTCCAGCTTACCAAGATCACTCTTTGAGTCCTTTTGTTTATCATTCTTAACTCAGTTGGATCAGGCGTCTTATCGTGAAGTAATAGCTTTAATCAAACTTCATGTCTTGGGCATTAATCCCAAAGGTAAAGAGAATGACAAACAAAACTTCAAATTGACATTAGACCCAATCCCAGCACCTGCCAATGAGAAAGCTGTGCAAATTTTGGGTTACTGGGTTCCACAAGGTGATCAAGAACCTTACTCACCACACAATGTAAGTTAATTATGAAAGTTATCTGGTTTAATTATAATATTACCACTTCATAAAAAAGGCACAGTGATGGGCAATTGCTTCAGGGCCTGCAGGTGGAAGGAACCCTTAGGCTCTGGTTTACATATTGTGGTTTATTTTGAGGGCTCTTCAACCCTTGCAGCCTGGCCTGAGGTCAGGCATCCTTCACCTTTGCCTTTGATATACCTTTGATGAGTTTCGAGAGTACTCCCAGAACCTGGCTTGCCTTGTTGACCAATGATCAACTAGACTGTTGCTTCTAGTAGCCTGCATCCCTACATAGCTATCATAACCGGGATGATCAGGTACAAGTAGCAGATAGTGATTAAGTTTCCTGTTGATAACTTTTTCTGTTGTTTCTTTCAAATTCAAGTACTTTATTTCTGTTATGCAGCATATAGATAACTGTATACTGTAATGTAGGCATGCCCCCTGGCATGACAGTGATGGAATGAATGATGAAAGTGTTTCTTCTTTCTTCGGGTCAACCTTCCTTGCTGGGAAACGGCTGATATATTAAAAAAAAAAAAAACAATGTAGTTTGTGTAGTAGAATATTGTTAGGTATAAAAGAAATCCACTAGCATGCAATGCATTTCAGGCAAAGTTGATTTGTTCAGTGTTACCATTTTGAGTAATGAATTGTAAGCAAGAACATACAGCCTCTCCTCACTTAATGAGTTCCGTTCCAAAGGCCATGTTGGTAAACAAATTTGTCGCCAAGTGAGGAGCGTACTATAATGGTAGCGAGTGTGTGTCAACCATCTTTGATATTATTTTAATGTCACCTTTGCAACATTTATAACATTTCAGGTATATTTTTAAATGTTTATGCAGTAGCGTACTGTATATTGTAATAAACAGAATAGAGCAAATCAGCTCTAGTATACATTATTTAGGTATGCATATTGGTCGGAGAGCCGGTCGTAAGTCCGAGTTGTTAATAAACAAGTACATCGCTAAGTGAGGAGAGGTATATGAAAGTGCATTATAAATACATTGCACATAAAGTGCATTATATGTTTGTTACCCCCCATGCTCCACTTTTAATCCACCATTGTTTAGGACTTACAAAGCTGTGATTTCCTCAATCATTGTTTATAGTCTTGAGAGTGAAATATGAAAAGGGCATAAAGAGGAATGTATGAATGTCTTGCCTATGGAGCAAGCAGAGTTATTTAAATTATTTATATATTTTTACTTTGTTATTATTTTTTTTTTTTATTATCACACCGGCCGATTCCCACCAAGGCAGGGTGGCCCGAAAAAGAAAAACTTTCACCATCATTCACTCCATCACTGTCTTGCCAGAAGGGTGCTTTACACTACAGTTTTTAAACTGCAACATTAACACCCCTCCTTCAGAGTGCAGGCACTGTACTTCCCATCTCCAGGACTCAAGTCCGGCCTGCCGGTTTCCCTGAATCCCTTCATAAATGTTACTTTGCTCACACTCCAACAGCACGTCAAGTATTAAAAACCATTTGTCTCCATTCACTCCTATCAAACACGCTCACGCATGCCTGCTGGAAGTCCAAGCCCCTCGCACACAAAACCTCCTTTACCCCCTCCCTCCAACCCTTCCTAGGCCGACCCCTACCCCGCCTTCCTTCCACTACAGACTGATACACTCTTGAAGTCATTCTGTTTCGCTCCATTCTCTCTACATGTCCGAACCACCTCAACAACCCTTCCTCAGCCCTCTGGACAACAGTTTTGGTAATCCCGCACCTCCTCCTAACTTCCAAACTACGAATTCTCTGCATTATATTCACACCACACATTGCCCTCAGACATGACATCTCCACTGCCTCCAGCCTTCTCCTCGCTGCAACATTCATCACCCACGCTTCACACCCATATAAGAGCGTTGGTAAAACTATACTCTCATACATTCCCCTCTTTGCCTCCAAGGACAAAGTTCTTTGTCTCCACAGACTCCTAAGTGCACCACTCACTCTTTTTCCCTCATCAATTCTATGATTCACCTCATCTTTCATAGACCCATCCGCTGACACGTCCACTCCCAAATATCTGAATACGTTCACCTCCTCCATACTCTCTCCCTCCAATCTGATATTCAATCTTTCATCACCTAATCTTTTTGTTATCCTCATAACCTTACTCTTTCCTGTATTCACCTTTAATTTTCTTCTTTTGCACACCCTACCAAATTCAAATTTTTACTTTATTTTATTAAATTGGGTAGGGAATGTGTAGATCAAGTGTTTACATTGAAGCATATATGTGAACAGTAGTATTTAGATAAAGGTAGAGAAGTTTTCATTGCATTTGTGGATTTAGAAAAGGCATATATATGGAATAGGTAATAAGTTACTAAATGCTGTAAAGATTTTTTATGAGGATAGTGAGGCTCAGGTTAGGGTGTGTAGAAGAGAGGGAGATTACTTTCTGGTAAAAGTAGGTCTTAGACAGGGATGTTTAATGTCACCATGGTTGTTTAATATATTTATAGATGGGATTGTGAAAGAAGTAAATGCTAGGGTGCTGAGGAGAGGGGTGGGATTAAATTATGGGGAATCAAGTACAAAATGGGAGTTGACACAGTTACTTTTTGCTGATGATGCTGTGCTTATGGGAGATTCTAAAGAAAAGTTGCAAAGGTTAGTCTACACATTTGGGAGGGTGTGTAAAGGTAGAAAATTGAAAGTGAACATAGATAAGAGTAAGGTGATAAAGGTTTTTTTTAATATCACACTGGCCGATTCCCACCAAGGCAGGGTGGCCCGAAAAAGAAAAACTTTCACCATCATTCACTCCATCACTGTCTTGCCAGAAGGGTGCTTTACACTACAGTTTAAACTGCAACATTAACAGGATTTAGATAAAGAAAAATTGGATATCACATTGGAGAGAGGGAGTATGGAAGTGAATGTTTTCAGATGTTTGAGAGTTGATATATGAGCTGATGGGTTTATGAAGATGAGGTTAACCATAGAATTGATGAATGGAAAAAGGTGAGTGGTGCGTTGAAGTATATGTAGAGGTAAAAAACGTTATCTATGGAGGCAAAGAAGGGAATGTATGAAAGTATAGTAGTACCAACACTCTTATATAGATGTGAAGCTTGGGTTGTAAATGCTGCAGTGAGGAGGCGGTTGGAGGCAGTGATGTCCTGTCTAAGGGCAACGTGTTGTGCAGATATTATGCAGAGAATTCGGAGTGTGGAAATTAGGAGGTGTGGAGTTAATAAAAGTATTAGTCAGAGGGCTGAAGAGGGGTTGTTGAGGTGGTTTGGTCATTTAGAGAGAATGGATCGAAGTAGAATGACATGGAGAGTGTATAAATCTGTAGGGGAAGGAAGGCGGGGTAGGGGTTGTACTCAAAAAGGTTGGAGGGGGGGGTAAAGGAGGTTTTGTGGGCGAGGGGCTTGGATTTCCAGCAAGCGTGCGTGAGCGTGTTAGGAGTGAATGGAGACGAATGGTTTTGGGGATGTGACGAGCTGTTGGAGTGTGAGCAAGGTAATATTTAGTGAAGGGATTCAGGGAAATTCTAGGCATTAAAGTTGAAAATAGGAATTTGGTAATTATCCTAGTATACAAACCACCATCGGCAACTGCTGAGGAATTCACAGATCAGTCAAGTAAGATAGATAGCTATCTGGATAGGCTAGAAAGTCCTACACCAAATATTTTACTCCTTTGAGATTTTAATCTCCCTCTTGTAAAATGGAAGATGGCACAATGAAATGTTATATCAGAAATATCCCCGGGAAGCACCCTGGCTCAACATGTACATACCAGGGAAATAATGAGGTTTTGTGAAAAGTACTCTTTAAACCAACAGGTAATTGATCCCACTAGAAATGAAAATACCCTGGATTTGATATTCACAAACAACGAGGAACTGATCAGAGACATAACAGTTTCCAAAACTATTTACTCTGATCATAACATCATAGAGGTTCAAACTAGTATTAACTCAGGGGTAGGAAACTGCATCGCTAAAGTTAGAGACGGGATGTTCAGTAAGTTTAATTTTAACAACCATAGAATTAACTGGGAAAAAATAAACCAAGAGCTATCAGACATACCCTGGGAATCAGACATGAGCACCCTAAATCCCCTCTAGTGCCTAGAGAAGCTGAATACAGAAGCATACAAAGTATGTATGAAACATGTACCATTGAGGAAACCCAGAGGAAAATCAGATAAAGAGAGAGAGCATAGGTAATGGTACAGAAGAAGAAAACGGGTTACTGAACTGCTTAAAAACACAAATGTGCTACAACAAGGGAAATACAGACTTAGCAGAGAGATCACTGAATTAGAGCAAAAACTTAGGATGTCATACCTCACAGAAGAAGTACAAAGGGAACAAAAGGCCATACAGGATATTGCAAGAAACCCAAAATATTTCTATTCCTACGCAAAATCCAAGCTAAAAACTACCTGTAGAATTGGACCGCTACTGAGAGGAGACTCGTATACTGACGATGAACAGGAAATGAGTGAAATCCTAAAAGAACAGTATGAGTCTGTGTTCAGCAACCCACTAAATGACAGCAAGGTAGAAAATGCAGAAATATTTTTCACTCCAGAAGAAGGCCGCACAGACCAACTAACTGACATTAGTACAAATCCCATAGATTTCGAAAAAGAAATGGAAAACATGCCCACTCACTCAGCACCTGGACCAGATTCATGGAATGCTCTATTTATAAAGAAGTGCAAAGTACCACTAGCACGAGCCCTCAGTATTCTTTGGAGAAAGAGCTTAGATCTAGGTGAAATACTGGAGGCCTTAAAGAATGCAGACATAGCTCCTTTGCACAAGGGAGGTAGTAGAGCACTAGCTAAAAATTACAGACCAGTAGCCCTACCCTCTCAGCATCAGCCAGGTCAAAAGCTCAGTGCCCCAAGGCACTGTCCTTGCACCTCTGCTGTTCCTCATCCTCATAGCAGACATAGACAAAAACATCCGGCACACTTGTATCATAATTTGCAGATGACACTAAAATAAGCATGAAAGTCAGTATGGTAGAGGACACTGAAAAGTACAGGAAGACATAAACAGGGTTTTCCAGTGGGCAGTGGAAAACAACATGACGTTCAATGGTGATAAGTTCCAGCTGCTTAGGTATGGAAAAAATGAAGAACTCAAAAGGAGCACTATATACAAAACTCAAGAGGGTCACCAAATAGAACGTAAGGAACACGTAAAAGACCTAGGAATAATTATGTCAGCGGACCTTTCTTTTAAAGACCATAACAAGACAAAGATCACGACAGCCAGGAAGATGACTGGGTGGGTATTGAGTACTTTCAAAACAAGGGAAACAGTGCCGATGGTGACACTCTTCAAATCGCTAGTGCTCCCTCACTTAGAATATTGTTCAGTGCTGACGGCTCCGTTCAGGGCAGGAGAAATATCGGAGCTGGAACAAAGACAGAGATCGTTTACGGCTCACATTGAGCCAGTAAAGCACCTAAACTACTGGGAACGCCTGCAAGTCTTGACCATGTACTCATTGGAGCGGAGGAGAGAGAGGTACATGATAATATATACCTGGAAGGTACTCGAGGGCTTGGTCCCAAATCTGCACACTGCCATCACAACATATTGGAGTGAGAGATATGGGAGGAAGTGTAAAATAAACCCAGTGAGGAGCAGGGGTGCGGTGGGGACAATAAGGGAACACTGTATCAACATCCGGGGTCCCAGACTTTTCAACATCTTATCAGAAGATATCAGAAACACTGCTGGAACAAGTGTTGAAGCCTTCAGGAGGAAACTAGACAAGTATCTTCACCAGGTGCCAGACCAACCAGGCTGTGATGGATGTGTGGGGCAGCGGGCCTCCAGCAGCAACAGCCTGGTTGATCAGGTGAGCACTAGATGAGCCTGGCCCATGGCCGGGCTCAGAAAATAGATATACTCTCGAAATTCTTCAAAGGTATATCAAAGGTAGCCAGACTTGAGTACTGGAAATGGGAAGTACAATTCCTGCACTTTAAAGGAGGGGTTTGGGATATTGGCAGTTTGGAGGGATATGTTGTGTATCTTTATATATACTTTTAAACTTTTGTATCTGGGCACCTCTGCAAAGACAGTGATTATGTATGCGTGAGGAGAAAGTGTTGAATGATGATGAAAGTGTTTTCTTTTTGGGGATTTTCTTTATTTTTGGATCACCCTGCTTCGGTGGGAGACGGCTGATTTGTTGAAAAAAGATTAAATATACAATGGGAATTCTTGCTGAAATTATCAGCTAATGTATCTTTGTAAAAAAAAATATTATATATATTTGTACAGTTATGTAACATATAATGACAGGATAATTATTAGGTCTTTCTTTTCTAACAGTACATTATGACTGGAACTGTGCAGAAAAACCTAGAGGATCTTGTGCGTATTGTGAGCATCGGTCGGTTCCCAGTATTGTTGCAAGGTGAAACCTCTGTTGGCAAGACATCCCTAATTACATATGTTGCCCGCCTCACTGGAAATTTGTGTGTGCGCATTAATAACCATGAACACACAGACCTTCAGGAATATGTAGGATGTTATGCACCAGATACAAGTGGAAAACTGGTTTTCAAAGAAGGTATTTTACTGTAATTTTTGTTTAGAACTTAGGTTTTATCTTTTGAAATATTTTTGAATATGTTGAATATGACCTAGGTATTAGGTTGGTAGACAGCAACCGCCCAGGGAGGTACTACCGTCCTGCCAAGTGAGTGTAAAACGAAACCCTGTAATTGTTTTACACGATGGTAGGATTGCTGGTGTCTTTTTTTTTTTTTCTGTCTCATACACGTGCAAGATTTCAGGTATGTCTTGCTACTTCTACTTACACTTAGGTCACACTACACATACATGTACAAGCATATATATACACACCCCTTTGGGTTTTCTTCTATTTTATTTCTAGTTTTTGTTCTTGTTTATTTCCTCTTACCTCCATGGGGAAGTGGAACAGAATTCTTCCTCCGTAAGCCATGCGTGTTGTAAGAGGCGACTAAAATGCCGGGAACTAGGGGCTAGTAACCCCTTCTCCTGTATATATTACTAAATGTAAAAGGAGAAACTTTCGTTTTTCCTTTTGGACCACCCCGTTTCGGTGGGATACGGCCAGTGTGTTGAAAGAAGAAAGATGTTGAATATGACCTAGGTAGTAGGTTGGTAGACAGCAACCGCCCAGGGAGGTACTACCGTCCTGCCAAGTGATGAGTGTAAAACGAAAGCCTGTAATTGTTTTACATGATGATAGGATTGCTGGTGTTTTTTGTCTGTCTCATAAACATGCAAGATTTCAGGTATGTCTTGCTACTTCTACTTACACTTAGGTCACACTACACATACATGTACAAGCATATATATACACACCCCTCTGGGTTTTCTTCTATTTTCTTTTTAGTTTTTGTTCTTGTTTATTTCCTCTTATCTCCATGGGAAAGTGGAACAGAATTCTTCCTCCGTAACCTATGCGTGTTGTAAGAGGCGACTAAAATGCCGGGAGCAAGGGGCTAGTAACCCCTTCTCCTCTATATATTACTATATTTAAAACGAGAAACTTTTGTTTTTCTTTTTGGGCCACCCCACCTCAGTGGGATATGGCTGGTGCGTTGAAAGAAAGAAAGATGTTGAATATGACTCACAAGTATACTAAAGTATTAAAAATTACGGTGGATCTCCGAAGTTCAGAATCTGATTCCAAAGGTAAATGGAAACTTTATTTTGGTTCTTGGAAAATGATAAATTGTTAGGTGAAAAATCAGAATTTCAGGGGGAAAATGACTAATTAATTACAGATAATGTGTATTAGTAGGTCTTAGAAAGGGATGTGTAATGTCACCATTGTTGTTTAATATATTTATAGATGGGGTTGTAAAGGAAGTAAATGCTAGGGTGTTCGGGAGAGGGGTGGGATTAAATTTTGGGGAATCAAATTCAAAATGGGAATTGACACAGTTACTTTTTGCTGATGATACTGTGCTTATGGGAGATTCTGAAGAAAAATTGCAAAGGTTAGTGGATGAGTTTGGGAATGTGTGTAAAGGTAGAAAGTTGAAAGTGAACATAGAAAAGAGTAAGGTGATGAGGGTATCAAATGATTTAGATAAAGAAAAATTGGATATCAAATTGGGGAGGAGGAATATGGAAGAAGTGAATGTTTTCAGATACTTGGGAGTTGATGTGTCGGCGGATGGATTTATGAAGGATGAGGTTAATCATAGAATTGATGAGGGAAAAAAGGTGAGTGGTGCATTGAGGTATATGTGGAGTCAAAAAATGTTATCTATGGAGGCAAAGAAGGGAATGTATGAAAGTATAGTAGTACCAATACTCTTATATGGGTGTGAAGCTTGGGTGGTAAATGCAGCAGCGAGGAGACGGTTGGAGGCAGTGGAGATGTCCTGTTTAAGGGCAATGTGTGGTGTAAATATTATGCAGAAAATTCGGAGTGTGGAAATTAGGAAAAGGTGTGGAGTTAATAAAAGTATTAGTCAGAGGGCAGAAGAGGGGTTGTTGAGGTGGTTTGGTCATTTAGAGAGAATGTATCAAAGTAGAATGACATGGAAAGCATGTAAATCTATAGGGGAAGGAAGGCGGGGTAGGGGTCGCCCTCAAAAGGGTTGGAGAGAGGGGGTAAAGGAGGTTTTGTGGGCAAGGGGCTTGGACTTCCAGCAAGCGTGCGTGAGCGTGTTAGATAGGAGTGAATGGAGACGAATGGTACTTGGGACCTGACGATCTGTTGGAGTGTGAGCAGGGTAATACAGTGGACCCCCGCATAACGATTACCTCCAAATGCGACCAATTATGTAAGTGTATTTATGTAAGTGCGTTTGTACGTGTATGTTTGGGGGTCTGAAATGGACTAATCTACTTCACAATATTCCTTATGGGAATAAATTCGGTCAGTACTGGCACCTGAACATACTTATGGAGTGAAAAAATATCGTTAACCGGGGGTCCACTGTATTTAGTGAAGGGATTCAGGGAAACCGGTTATTTTCATATAGTCGAACTTAAGTCCTGGAAATGGGAAGTACAATGCCTGCACTTTAAAGGAGGGGGTTGGGATATTGGCAGTTTGGAGGGATATGTTGTGTATCTTTATATGTGTATACTTCTAAACTGTTGTATTCTGAGCACCTCTGCAAAAATAGTGATAATGTGTGAGTGTGGTGAAAGTGTTGAATGATGATGAAAGTATTTTCTTTTTGGGGATTTTCTTTCTTTTTTGGGTCACCCTGCCTCGGTGGGAGATGGCGGACTTGTTGAAAAAAAAAAAATGTGTATTATATTGTTGTAGTAGTTTAGTAGACAGCAACCACCCAGGAAGGTAATACAGTCCTGCCACATACATGGGAAATGGAAACCTGTAACTCTTTTACACAATGGTAGGAATGCTGGTGTCTTTTTCTGTCATACACACACAAGAAATCAGGCACATCTTGCCACTTCTTACTCTTAGGCACATTATATACATGTATATGTATACACACCCATCAGAATTTTATTCTATTTTCTAAATAGTTTTTGTTCTTATCTATTTCCTTTAATGCCCTTGGGGAAATGGAAAAGGATCTTTCCTTTGTGATCCGTGTGTGTCATAAGAGGCGACTAAGATGCCGGGAGCAATAGGCTAGTAACCCCTTCTGTATAAATTACTAAAAATAACAAGAAAAACTTTATAAAGCTGGGGTGTTTGAATGTGCATGGATGTAGTGCATGTGATAAGAAAGAGATGAATGCCAGTGTTAAGAATGAAAAGAAGTTGGATGCCCTAGCTCTAAGCAAAACAAAGCTGGGAGAAATAAAGGGAATTGGATCAGGAGTATTAGAGTTAAATCTAAGGAAGGGGATAGCAATAATGTTGAAGGATCAGTTATGGAAGGTGAAGAGGGAGTATAAATGTTTAAATTCAAGGATTATGTGGGTTTAAATGAGGGTCAGATGCAAAAAATGGGTTAAAATAATTGTTCATTCACCTGGAGAAGAGAGGAGTATAGAAGAGAGAGAGAGAGATTTTGGGAGATGTTAAGCAAGTGTTTAAGAAGTTTTGAACCCAGTGAAAGAGTAATTGTGGCAGGGGACCTGAATGCTTAAGTAGAAAAAATGGTTACAGAGGGTGTGGTATATAAGTTTGGGGTGCCAGGGGTAAATGATAATAGGGGGTCTTTGATTGAACTTTGTATAGAAAGAGGTTTGGTATGATTTTTTTATTATTAACCCTTTGACTGTTTCGGTTGTATAAATACGTCTTACGAGCCACCATTTTTGATGTATATATACTCAAAAATTCTAACGGCTTCAAATCAAGCAGGAGAAAGCTGGTAGGCCCACATGTGATAGAATGGGTCTGTGTGCTCAGTGTGCTCCATATAAAAAAAACCTGCATCACGCAGTGCATAATGAGAAAAAAAAATTAATTTTGGGGGGGATTAAAATGCCGACTTTGTGGTGTATTTTCTTATGGTATTTATGGTTGTATTCTCATTTCCTTAGTCTCATTTGATAGAATGGAAAACATATAGAAATAGAGGTGATTTTGATTGGTTTTACTATGAAAAGAACCTTGTAATGGAGCTCAAATTAGGGAAAATGTTTGATTTTTGCTGATGTTCAAAAGTAAACAGATGATGTCGTTGTCCAATAAATGTCCAACTAGCCATTCTAATATGCAGTCATGAATGGGTTTACATTATTTATACAATTATTACAATATTGCAGTAGTCTGTATAACAGTAAATCTTCTATTTTTTGTTTGAATAAAAATTCAAAATAGAAAGCAAGAGTAATATCAGAGTGGCCTGGAGATGTGACTGATGAACAAAGAACATGTTATTTTAGAGCCAGGAATGCCTTCCGGTTTGAATTTGTCACTCAAACAATCAAAGATTTATCCTGTTTTTCGGACAATAAAATATAACCTGGAATAATTGGACATGTTTTACAGTGTCCCAATAATTGAGTGAAACCTAGTAAAACCCCATAAGACTGAGGGTTGAAGGGGGGATGCATTACCCATCCTCAGGAAAATCAGCAAAAATTAAATATTTCCTCTACTTTGAGCCTGATTTCAAGCTGTTTGCTGTTTCTGGTCTTGAAACCAACCAATATCATCTTTATTTCAGTATTATGTCTTCCATGCTATCAAATGATAACCACAAAAGCAGCCAATGAAACCATAAAGACCATCCAGGAAAACTCCTGTCACCCTGAAACCAAATACAATTTCAAATGTTTGCTTTTCCCATCATGCACTGCATGGGGCAGGATTTTTTTTTTATACAGTGCACACTCACTGCACAGACTAATTCTTTCATATTTAGGCCAGAATTTACTACTCATAGCTTATCCTAAGGAGCTGAGCTCAAAATATAGATCTTTGAAAGCAACCCTGGCATCAGTAATGTTGATCTATGGATTAATGCTAGTAAAGTCTTTTTTGTACTAATGAATTATTTTTGTTACTTTTAGGAGCGCTTGTAAAAGCAATGCGTAAGGGCCACTGGATTATTTTAGATGAACTCAACTTGGCCCCCTCAGATGTGCTTGAAGCTCTCAATCGTTTACTTGATGACAATCGGGAACTCTTTATTCCTGAAACGCAAGAAACAGTTTGTGCTCATCAGCGCTTTATGCTCTTTGCTACTCAAAATCCTCCTGGATTATATGGTGGAAGAAAGGTCAGTGTAATTTTTTAAGTTATAGATATCTTGGAAATAAGTGATGGTGAGTGTGATTTAAATATTTAACCTGTCAAATAAAGATTTTACATATTTTATAACATTTTATGATACATGTGTATTTAAAATATATACACTGAAGATGCTTGAGGGCCTGGTCCCAAATCTTCACACTGCCATAACATAATGGAATGAGAGATAAAGGAGAAAGTGTTAAATAATCAGGGTGAATGGCAAAAGAAGAAACACTTTTGCCATTACTTCACTGTCCTGTCCGAGCCACCCTGCCATTACAGCTCAGATACCCCTCCAAACTGCAAGATTCCTACCCCTCCTTCAGAGTGCAGACACTGTACTTTCTGCCCCTTCTGAGTGCAGGCACTGTACTTCCCACCTTCAGGACACAAATCTAGCTAACCTAATTCCAGGAATTCATTCACAAAATGTTACCTTGCTCACACTCCAAGAGCTGGTCAGGTCCCAAAAACCATTTGCCTCCACTTGTATCTAACTTGTTCACATATGCCTGCTGGATGTCCAAACCCCTTGCACACAAAACCTATAGCTCCTCCCTTCATCCTTTCCTAGGATGAACCCTACTCTATATTCCCTCCACTACAGATTTATACACAGTCCAAACCATCCTGGTTTGCTCTAGCTTTTCTAAATGACCATCCACCTCAACAACCTCTCCTAAGCTCTTAGGATAATACATTCACCAATTCTGCACCTCTTCCTAATCTCCAGACTACAAAATATTTGCATATATTTACACCACACATTGCCTTCAGACATGACATCTGCATTGCCTCCAACCTCTTCCTTGCTGCAGTATTCACAACCCATGCTTCACACCTATATAAGAGTGTTGGTACCACTATACTTTCATACAGTCCCCTCTTTACTTCTATAGATAACATTCTTTGTCTCCACAGATACCTCAGTGCACCACCCATCTTTTTCCTTTCATCAATAGGTATAAAATGATTAGTACAAAATGTTTCTTCCAATAAAATATTTATTGTTGTATGGACTCACATTCACTTATGCCATAACTCTTGATATAAAAGTCAGAATGAGCTAAGATTTTCAGAAGACTTGATGATACATCCCAAAAATATTAAACGGTTGTGATACATCCTGAAAATATTAAACGGTTTTGTCCTGGAACTCTACTCATACTTTTGTGACCTAGGTTTAGAGAGATTATTATTGCTCTGCAGTAAAAAAGAAATTATTGTCAATTTGTTTTTTAACACATCGGCCGTTTCCAACTGAGGCAGGGTGACTCAAAAAGAAAGGAAAACCTCCTTTACCCCTTCCCACCAACCTTTTCAGGGATGACCCTACCCTGCCTTCCTTACCCTATAGATTTATATGTTCTCCAAGTCATTCTACTTTGTTCCATTCTCTCTAAATGACCAAACCACCTCAGCAGCCCCTTTTCAGCCGTTTGGATAATAGTTTTGGTACTTTTGCACCTCCTCCTAATTTCCAAACTGCAAATTCTCTGCATTACATATATTCATACCACACATTGCCCTCAGACACAACATCTCCACTGCCTCCAGCCACCTCCTTGCTGCAGCATTTGCAACCCATGCTTCCACTATACTCTCATACATTCCCTTCTTTGCCTCCATGGACAATGTTCTTTGTCTCCACAGATACCTCAGCACACCACTCGCCTTTTTTCCTTCATCAATTCTGTGGTTAACCTCATCCTTCATAAACCCATCCACTGACAAGTCAACTCCCAAATGTCTGAAAACATTCATTTCTTCCGTACTCCCTCCCTCCAATGTGATATCCAATTTTTCTTTATCTAAATCGTTTGATACCCTCATCACCTTACTCTTATATAAGTTCACTTTCTACTTTCTACACCCTCCCAAACTCGTCCACTAACCTTTGCAACTTTTCAGTAGAATCCCCCAAAAGCACAATATCATCAGCAAAAAGTAACTGTGTCAACTCCCATTTTGTATTTGATTTCCCATAATTTAATCCCACTCCCTCTGCCCAACACCCTAGCATTTAATTCTTTTACAACCCCATCTAAAAGTACATACGTTAAACAACCATGGTGACATTACACGTCCCTAAGACCTACTTTTTCTGGGAAGTAGTCTCCCTCTCTCCTACACACTTTAACCTGAGCCTTGCTATCCTTGTAAAATCTCTTTACAGCATTTAGTAACTTACTACCCATTCCATACACTTGTAGCATCTGCCACATTGTGTACGAATGGTATATAATACCGACAAGATGAGAGTAAGACACATTTGCAACATCTGGGTATCTTTATTGTGTCTTACTCTCATCTTGTCGGTATTATATACCATTCGTACACAACTTGTCAGACACTGCAACATCATGGAATCTTAATTCTGAGGACATGTACTACTACTACAACTAACCCATCTCTTTGGGAAGGACCTACTTCCACTGGGGAATCCCGCCTACCAGTGAATATGCCCTCGTCTGCTACACCTGACGTTACTATATAAGCGCCAGGATTCTTTCTTCTGCTTCAGAATCTCCACGACTATGGTGCTGTTCGCACCTACTCCTAGGTTGAGGGACTGATTACCTCATCTTCTGTACATAGTTCTACTGTCTTCAATTATGTCCTAGAATTTGTATTGATAAAGCCACTGGATGGCGAAACGTCTACAATAAAGATACCCAGATGTTGCAAATGTGTCTTACTCTCATCTTGTCGGTATTATATACCATTCGTACACAACTTGTCAGACACTGCAACATCATGGAATCTTAATTCTGAGGACATGTACTACTACTACAACTAACCCATCTCTTTGGGAAGGACCTACTTCCACTGGGGAATCCCGCCTACCAGTGAATATGCCCTCGTCTGCTACACCTGACGTTACTATATAAGCGCCAGGATTCTTTCTTCTGCTTCAGAATCTCCACGACTATGGTGCTGTTCGCACCTACTCCTAGGTTGAGGGACTGATTACCTCATCTTCTGTACATAGTTCTACTGTCTTCAATTATGTCCTAGAATTTGTATTGATAAAGCCACTGGATGGCGAAACGTCTACAATAAAGATACCCAGATGTTGCAAATGTGTCTTACTCTCATCTGCCACATTGCTTCTAAATCCATAAATGCAATGAAAACTTGTCTACCTTTATCTAAATACTATTCACATGTATGCTTCAATGTAAACATCTGATCTACACATTCCCTATCCATTCTAAAGCCTCCCTGCTCATCTGCAACAGATGTAGTATTTTCATCAAAATATATTGATAGTGATCTTGGCTGATGTAATAAAACTTTTCTCAGAATATAGGTGCATTGAATTATACAGATTAATTTCAGCAATTTTAACATCACTTACATAATCAAGGTAATATAGTGGGTCGTCCTAGGAAAGGATGGAGGGAGGAGGTATAAGAGGTTTTGTGTGCAAGAGGCCTAGACATACAGTAGGCATGTGTGAGTGCGTTAGATAGGAGTGATGTGGGATGAATGGTTTTTGGGACCTGATGAGCTGTTGGAGTGTGAGAAGGGTAATATTTTGTGAAGGAATTCAGGAAAACCGGTTAGCTGGATTTGAGTCCTGGAGGTGGGAAGTACAATGTTCAAGCGTTAAAGGAAGGGTTTGGGATATTGGCTATTTGTCATATCTGGGCGCCTCTGCAAAGACATTGATTTTGTGTGAGTGTTGGTGAAAGTGTCTCTTGTTTGGGGTCACCCCTGCCTCAGTGGGAGATGGCCGTCACGTTAAAAAAAAGTTTATGTTAATAAATAATAAATAATGTTATTTACCACAGGTGTTATCACGAGCATTCCGCAATCGTTTTGTAGAATTGCACTTCACTGAGATCCCAGCACCTGAACTTGAGGTAATCTTGCACAAAAGATGTGAGCTGCCTCTTTCTTACAGCAAAAAAATGATTTCAGTTTTGCAAGATCTACAAAATATGAGAAGAGGATCAAATCTTTTCCAGGTGAGTAACAATGTTTTATCCAAACTACTGTACTTTGTGCATTTGTGAGAAGGTTTAAGTAAATTATTCCCATGCAGCATTGCTGTAGTTTTATAACAGGTTAAAATAGGACTAATTTCTAAGTAAAAAATAAAATTCAGAGATTACAGAGGGGCACTGTATTTCGTAATTGTAGCTATAACTTGTTTAAACTTTTACTTAACAATAAATTGCATTAGTATTGGGGACGTTGTAGGTTTAGATCATATATAGTGGAACACCGTGACTTTGGCTCAGTTGAAAATGAAAGCTGTTAAAGTTTCAATTTGTCTGGTGATGCCAAGCTTGAATAAGAACATAAGAACATAAGAAAGGAGGAACGCTGCAGGAGGCCTGTTGGCCCATACTAGGCAGGTCCTTTACAATTCATCCCACTAACAAAACATTTGCCCAACCCAATTTTCAATGTTACCCAAGAAATAAGCTATGATGTGAAAGTCCCACTCAAATCCAACCCCTCCCACTCATGTACTTATCCAACCTAAATTTGAAACTACCCAAAGTCCTAGCCTCAATAACCCAACTAGGTAGACTGTTCCACTCATCAACTACCCTATTTCCAAACCAATACTTTCCTATGTCCTTTCTAAATCTAAACTTATCCAGTTTAAATCCATTACTGCGGGTTCTCTCTTGGAAAGATATCCTCAAGACCTTATTAATATCCCCTTTATTAATACCTATCTTCCACTTATACACTTATACACTTCCAAAGGAATTTTTCAAGAAAGAATTAAGAACACACACAAAAAATGGAAGTACAAATCTAAATAAAAATGGTTCATAACAGTTCCAGTTGTCTTACCTTCTTGTAAAATATAGTATGTACACCTAATACTTTACAAGAAGAGACTGGCTTATAAACTAGATATCTACAAAAAAAAAAAACTCAATTTAGCAGATTTAATGGAAAAATCTCATTGTTAGGATTATAGAACAGTTGTCATTAACCTTTAACCCCTTCACTTTCCAGACTTCTGAAATTAACATTGCTCCCACTGTGTGCTTTTTTAAAATAAAAAAAAAATGTTTTCTTTTGAAGTGTTAGAGAATCATTTTCTGAAGGTAATGACACCAAAAGTATGAAATGATATGAAACTTATGGAAATATGCAGGCGCAAAGTTAGTGGCCTGGGCGCAATTTATACATTGGCTATTTCACCCACTTCGAGTCCATGACTTTAGTCAGCAAAATTCCCCTTCCAGTCTTACCAGTGAGCACAAGAAACTGCTTATTCAACTATTACAACTACCCTGTAAGTTGACAGAACTCAGTATTTGGTAAATTTTACACAAAACTGAGAAAATACCAGTTTAAAAATCATGCATAATAAACATTGTACATGATCCTGATACTAAAGCAATATTTCCTCTGTTCATTAATCATGTTTCCAGATCTTGCTTTCCATTTTCACTTCACAATCACACAAAAATGTTCTGTTTCTCAGATAATAAAATATAACCAGGAATGATTGGTCATGGATTATGGCATCCCAATAACTGAATCAGGGCTATTAAAATCCCATAAAAGAGACTGGGTGTCTAGGAGGCCCTTACCCAACCTCAGGAAAATTGAGCCCTATTTCAAGCTGTGAACTTCTGGTCCTGAAACCAACCAAAATCACCTCTATTTCAGTAGTATGTCTTCCATTCTATCAAATGATACCAAGAAACAGCCAATTAAAGAATGAAAAACTATCCTATAAAACACCTCAAAGTTCCAATTTTAAACTAAATAGATGGTCAGGGTTTTTCTTTTCCCATCATGCACCACATGGGGACAGGATTTTTTTATACTTTGCTCTCTGTGGAAGACCATTCTCTCATGTCTAGGTCAAAATTTACTGCTCACAGATTATCTGAGTTCATGACATAGAACAACATGAGGTATCCTGACCTCATTGACATAGTTCTACATGATGGCCACCAAAAGAGTTAGTGTTCAGTGTACTAGTACACAACTGACGACTGTGTACAGCCTACTAGTATGCAGTTTTTTTTTTTACCTTAAAAAGTTTCTACTGCCAATATTTTTGACCACAGCACAAGTCATTGGGTCTTCTGCATTCATATATTTGAGAAAATTGAAGCCCAGGAGGGTTGACTCATTGCATCGTGGTTAACTACACAGGTTATGATGACTGTGTCTGAAGTACTAGTATACCTAACTAACTGGTGTCATTACCATCGGGAAAAGATTCTCTGTTGTTTCATGTGAAAAAATAATTTTTATTTTTAAATTCTTTGACACTGAGAGCAAATTTGTGAGCAGGGGTCTCGACAATGAAAAGGTTAAGCATATCTAATATCATAAGAAACTAGATAAGTGGTTTTTAATGGATGTGCTGTTATAATGTGAAACAAGGAAACTTTTATGAAGTGATTAGGCAAAACAGGCTAGCTGGACTTGTCATAGAGGCGGGAAGGGTGTTGCCTGCACTTTAGAGGAGTGGGGGAGGTGCAGTTGGAGGGACATCTGAAATGTGGTGTCATCATGCTTCAGGAAAGACAGCAACTGAATGAATGTGTTTTCCAGTTTGGGTCACCCCTCCTTGGCAGGAGATAGGCTTTGAGGTAAAGCACGATTGTTACTGGCAGCTTATAAGCCAACTCCACATTCTGTGGAAGGAGTACCATGTTCATTTTAAGGAATAGATTGGCACAGGTGTCAAACACCTGTGCCAATTGCCAGTTTTTGCTGAGCCTTATTAAACTAACTTATGTACTAAGTAGTTTTTATTTTGGATCTGAGTATGTAGCATACATATCTAGATCAATAAGCAACATTTACAATGTATTTTGTTAAAAGCTTCATAATTTTTGTTTTAGTAAGAAATTTATAAAAAAAATTTTGGATATTTTTTTGGAGGTGTCATGAATCTAACTCAGTATTTCTTCATGTATTATTCATATTATATAGCAGGAAATTACATGAAGAGTCAGTTTTAGGAACTTAACCATCATGTTATGTATTTAGAGGTAAGTTTTCCAGTGGATCAAACAGTCTTCTTCACAATTACTTTTAAATCCTCCTCTTTCTAATTATATCCTGGAATTTCTCACTTCTTTATATTTGCTGATTTAAATATTTTTAATGTTCTCTCTAAATATAGGTGAATGCTATTTTAAGATTCTTGCTGATGTGATACTTTCTCTGTCTATTGTGCTTTTTTTTATTTATTTCTAGGGCAAGCAGTCATTGTGATACTTTCTCTGTCTATTGTGCTTTTTTTTTATTTATTTCTAGGGCAAGCAGTCATTCATTACTCTCCGTGATCTTTTCCGATGGGCAGAGCGATATAGGCTTGCTCCCAAGCAATTGACAAAATTTTATGACTGGGACCAACATCTTGCAGATGAAGGTTACCTTGTTTTGGCAGGCAGAGTTCGATTGGAAGAAGAATCTACTGCTATTAGAAAGGTGCAGTATAGAGAGTCATTTTACCTTCATTTCTAAAGATACACCCACTGTCTTTCTACATAAGATTTTTACTAAGTCTCTTCTTTATATGACAGTTTGGTATATAGTTACTAGTACATTAAGGCAATTGTTTGTATAATCCATTAATTTCTTCTCTTCTAGTTACTTAAGTAAATTAATCTTTAGTTACTTTGTATCTATTTCTGTTACAGGTTCTGGAAAAAAGACTCAAGAAGAAGATGGATATGGACAACCTCTTTTCATTATGTGAAGAGACATCTTTGGTTACCAAATCATGTTTGAAACAAATGTGTGCCATAAAAGGTTTTGAGCATGTAGTTTGGACACAGGACATGCGTCGTTTATATGTTTTAATTACAAAGGCTCTTAATTTTGGGGAACCTGTTCTTCTTGTTGGAGAAACTGGCTGTGGAAAGACTACTGTATGTCAAATGATTGCTGCTCAAAATTGTCAGGATCTTTATACTGTCAATTGTCACATGCATACAGAGGGAGCAGATTTTCTTGGTGGTCTTCGCCCTGTTCGATCCCACACAATTGAAGATGATCGATTGTTTGAGTGGGTGGATGGCCCACTTATTACGGCCATGAAAAATGGAGGAGTGTTTCTCGCTGATGAAATATCTCTAGCTGATGACAGTGTTCTAGAAAGGCTAAATTCAGTTCTTGAGCCGGAGAGAATATTGGTATTGGCTGAAAAAGGTACAGATGCTGGAGGGGATGTAGGTAGTCTCGAGATTATCCATGCACATGATCAGTTCAGATTAATAGGCACCATGAACCCTGGTGGAGACTATGGAAAAAAAGAACTTTCTCCTGCTCTTAGAAATCGCTTCACAGAAATTTGGTGTCCCAAAGTTGAAATTAATCGTGTGACATCTGATGTACTTGGAATTATTGAACATAATATTAGAAAAGAAATTATTTTGAACAACAAAGAAAATGCAAGTGGCATAGGCACTGCAATCTTAGAATTTATTGAATATTTTACCAAAACAGATCTTGGTAAGAAATGTGTTCTTAGTATCAGGGACTTGTTATCTTGGGTGAATTTTATTAATAAAGTTGCTTCAGCTCCAGTTTACATGGATGTAGGTTTAGCTTTCATCCATGGAGCTTGTCTTGTACTTTTAGATGGTTTAGGGTCAGGGCTTACAGGTAGTGGTACTGCAGGGTGGAAGCAACTGAGAGATGCCAGTCTTGATTATCTTTGTCAGCTAGTGTGGCAGAAAACTGGTGTCAATCCCAACAGATCAACACTTCAAGAAGAATTTGTTAGCAACTTGACATTTGTAAACACTGAAAAATTGTTTGGCATTGGGCCCTTTACAATAAAGAAAGGCTCAGTGAGTAAATGCAAGTCTAGCATGTTTACTTTTAAGGCTCCTCGAACTTGTATAAATCTGCTCAGAATTCTGCGTGGTTTGCAGCTAACAAAACCTCTGTTGCTGGAAGGCAGTCCAGGTGTTGGTAAAACCAGTTTAGTGATGGCTTTGGCTAAAGCTTCTGGTAATGATATCGTGAGAATCAATCTTTCTGAACAAACAGATGTAAGTGATCTGTTTGGTGCAGACTTGCCGGTTGAAGGAGGCAAGGGTGGAATGTTTGCATGGCGAGATGGCCCTCTGCTACAAGCCTTGCGACATGGTTCTTGGGTAGTATTGGATGAGCTAAACTTAGCTTCCCAGTCAGTGTTAGAAGGATTAAATGCTTGCTTTGACCATCGTGGTGAGATTTTTGTTCCCGAATTAAGCAAAACCTTTCAAGTGGAATACCAGACTACGAAGATCTTTGCTTGTCAAAATCCACAGCATCAGGGAGGTGCTAGAAAAGGCCTTCCTAAATCTTTCCTCAATAGGTTCACACAGGTAAGATACTTAGTTTTTTTTATTGTGTTTTTATCACCATGATTCTTAAAAGCTTCAGTTGTCGAATTCCAAAACCTGACACTCCTCAGGCTGTATAATGTGAAAGATCATCCTGAATATATTTTGTATTCAAATGCATATATTTAGGCACAGTGGAAATTTGAAATTTGCATGCTTCATAATCTTTGTGATTTGATTATATAACATTGTAACTGAAAGCCATATTGCTAATTGCTATGGTTATTCACATTTTTCCTTGGTGTCCCTTGCTTTTTTGTTATGAATGGGAATATTAAGCAGATTTGAGCAATATTTTAATGAAATATGGTAAAAAGCTAACTTATACACAAATAACCTGCACATAGGAAAGAGGAGCTTACAATGACGCTTCGGTCCGATTCAGACCATTTACAAAGTCATACTAACAAAAAGGAGAGAAGGAGGGAGTATATTTAGGCCAGCAGACAGGGACAGGACAAGAGAGGTAGTAGGAAAGGAAGAAAAGAGGCAGTGGTAGAGGTAATAGTAGTAGTAGTAGTGGAGTCAGTCAGAGACTAAGAAAGAGGAACACTGCAAGGGAGCTAGGGGCCCACAAAGAGTAGGAACAAGAACACAGAGAGGGGACAAAATAATAATGGACCAAACACCCAAGGCAGAAGAAAGAAAACCCAAAGGAGAAAGAGGAAAGGGGAAGAAGGAGAAGGGGCAAAAAGAATCAGGTTAAGTCACAGGTGTTCTGAAGTTTGGAGGATTTTACAATGTAATGGGAAAGGAAGGCATCTACAGAGACAAAGCCAGGACTAAGATTCATGCAAGGAAAGTTGCGTATAAGGGAGGATTCAACCAGACGGCAACTGTGAAAATTAGAAGTAGGGTAGACAGTTTTAGCAGAAGATCGGTCACTAGGATGACTGTGATCTCTGACATGACAGAAAAGAGCATTATTAGTGTTGGCAAGCCTAAAACTACTATTGTGCTCCCTAAGTCTGTCAGAAAGAGAATGGCCAGTTTCTCCAAAGTACTGAAAAGGACAAGAGGAACAAGAAATAGAGTAGACACCAGGACCATCTATAGAGCGAGGAGAGGTATGAACTAGATTGGTGCAAAGAGTGTTAGTCTGGCGAAAAGTAAGTTTGGTGTCTAAGGAACGGAGAGAGAGTTGTTGAAATTAGAATGACTGAAAATATAGGAAAGGCAGAGAACAGGAGAGTTCCCAGGAGTAGAGAGTTTGGGGGAGAAGAAAGTCCATTTAGCACATTAGAAGGCAGAGTTTATGAAATGGGAAGGGTAGCCAAGATGGGAAAATGAATTATGAGGCTCCTGGTGTCTACTCTATTTCTTATTCCTCTTGTCCCTTCAGTACTTTGGAGAAACTGGCTGTTCTCTTTCTGACATATTTAGGGAGCACAAAAGTAGTGTTAGGCTTCCCGACACCAACAATGCTCTTTTTTGTCATGTCAGAGATCACAGTCATCCTATTGACTGGTCTTCTGCTAAAATTGTCTACCCTACTTCTAATTTTCACATGCACCATCTGGTTGAATCCTCCCTTATACACAACTTTCCTTGTATGAATCTTAGCCCTGTCTTTGTCTCTGTAGATGACTTCCTTTCCCATTACATTGTAAAATGCTCCAAACTTCAGAACACTCATAAGATAAGATAAGATTTCGTTCGGATTTTTAACCCCGGAGGGTTAGCCACCCAGGATAACCCAAGAAAGTCAGTGCGTCATCGAGGACTGTCTAACTTATTTCCATTGGGGTCCTTAATCTTGCCCCCCAGGATGCGACCCACACCAGTCGACTAACACCCAGGTACCTATTTGCTGCTAGGTGAACAGGACAACAGGTGTAAGGAAACGTGTCAAAATGTTTCCACCCGCCGGGAATCGAACCCAGGCCCTCCGTGTGTGAAGCGAGAGCTTTAGCCACCAGGCCACCGGGCCTGGTGGCTAAACCTGATTCTTCTTTTTCCTTCTCCCTCTTCCTCTTTCCTCTTTCTCCTTCAGGTTTTCTTTCTTCTGCCTTGGGTGTTTGGTCTTTATAATTCTCCCTCTCCCCACTGTGTTCTTATTCCTACCCTTAGTGGGGCCCATAGCTCCCTTGCAGTGCTCCTCTTCCTTAGTCTATGGCTAACTCCACTATTACTACTACTGTTGCCTTTACCACTACTTCTCACCCTTTTCTGCTACCTCTCTTGTCCTGTCCCTGTCTGTTGGCCTATATATACTCCCTTCTTCTCTCCTTTTTGTTAGTGTGACTGTAAATGGTCCAAGTTGGATTGAGATGTCGCCATAAACTCCTCTCTCATATGTGCGGGTTATTCGTACATTGTTCCAGTCAGGGTATTGTGCCTTTTTGTTATTTAAAAAGCTAACTTATTTGGAGAAGCCAATTTTCCTTTTATACGGGCATCAATTCACATCAGTCCCAGAAACTTCTCCCCCATTAATTAGGTATTTTTGATGGGGTACCTTTAAGTGGTTTCATTCATTTTTTTTCATCCAAGGTTTTCGTCTATAACTTGAGAATGCTTCATCTGATGGGCTCCAGATTTTAAATGCTGCTATACTAAGACTAGGGAAAGGTTCATGTAGCTGTTGGCATGTGCAGGTGTCCTCCAATCAGTTTTATATGGATTACTCCTGATTTTGGTTTTCATGCGACACATTAGGAAAGTCTCTTCTGATTGGCTTCCAACTTTCAACAGTGGCATATCCTGTTTAGGAGAAAGTTGTGATCATTATTAGTGTGTGTTACTACCAGTTTAACACGTGCAACAGTTTGGGAACTTTTTTGCCAAGATGTTTCACTTAGCAGGCTTCTTCATTTTCATTTGGAATATAGAGGTGAGAACTGTATTAGAGATGTAAATATAACATGATCAGTCCCTCTGCCTTGTATAAGTAAGTTTGAGGTAGTCAGTTTCTCGGCCTTGGTGTGTGCACAGCTCTATAGCTTCTGTGAATGTGAAGCTAAAGCATGAAGAAATGGCCTTTTATATTGCTGGAAAAGAGGTGTGGAAATGGAGATGACATGATTTGAGGTAGGGGCTATTGGTGGAACTAAGGACATAGGTATTGAGAAGTTCTCAAAAACTGGGTCTTCCTGCTTAAAATCAACTCTTTTCACTCATTGCTAGTGGTTGACAACCAGTGTTGTAGATGTCCTACATACCAAGATACTGTGGTATTGCTCTGTCAGACAAATATCATTATAGTAATGGTATACAATTTGGGCAGGTAGATTTTTTTTTTTAACATGTCGGCCGTCTCCCACCGAGGCAGAGTGACCCAAAAAGAAAGTAAATCCCCAAAAAGAAAATACTTTCATCATCATTCAACACTTTCACCTCACTCACACATAATCACTGTTTTTGCAGAGGTGCTCAGAACACAACAGTTTAGAAGCATATATGTATAAAGATACACAACATATCCCTCCAAACCGCTAATATCTCGAACCCCTCCTTTAGAGTGCAGGCATTGTACTTCCCATTTCTAGGACTCAAGTCCGGCTATTTAAAAATAACTGGTTTCCCTGAATCCCTTCACTAAATATTACCCTGTTCACACTCCAACAGATCGTCAGGTCCCAAATACCATTCGTCTCCATTCACTCCTATCGAACACGCTCATTCATGCCTGGTGGAAGTCCAAGCCCCTCGCCCACAAAACCTCCCTTTCCCCTTCCTATCTTTTTGAGGACGACCCCTACTCTGCCTTCCTTCCCCTACAGATTTATACGCTCTCCATGTCATTCTACTTTGATCCGTTCTTGATCTGTTCTCTCTAAATGACCAAACTATCTCAACAACCTCTCTTCAACCCTCTGACTAATACTTTTATTAACTCCACACCTTCTCCTAATTTCCACACTCCGAATTTTCTGCATAATATTTACACCACACATTGCCCTTAGACAGGACATCTCCACTGCCTCCAACCGCCTTCTCACCCATGTAAGAGTGTTGGTACTACTATACTTTCATACATTCCCTTCTTTGCCTCCATAGATAACGTTTTTTGTCTCCACATATTCCTCAAAGCACCACTCGCCTTTTTTCCCTCATGATTAACCTCATCCTTCATAAATCCATCCGCCGACACGTCAACTCCCAAGTATCTGAAAACATTCACTTCTTCCATACTCCTCCTCCCCAATTTGATATCCAATTTTTCTTTATCTAAATCATTTGATACCCTCATCACCTTACTCTTTTCTATGTTCACTTTCAACTTTCTACCTTTACACACACTCCCAAACTCATCCACTAACCTTTGCAGTTTTTCTTTAGAATCTCCCATGAGCACAGTATCATCAGCAAAAAGCAACTGTGTCAATTCCCATTTTGTATTTGCTTCCCCATAATATAATCCCACCCCTCTCCCGAACACCCTAGCATTTACTTCTTTTACAACTCCATCTATAAATATATTAAACAACCATGGTGACATTACACATCCCTGTCTAAGACCTACTTTTACTGGGAAGTAGTCTCCCTCTCTTCTACACACCCTAATCTGAGCCTCACTATCCTCATGAAAACTCTTTACAGCATTTAGTAACTTACCACCTATTGCATATACTTGCAACATCTGCCACTCTATCATATGTCTTTACTAAATCCATAAATGCAATAAAAACTTCCCTACCTTTATCTAAATACTGTTCACATATATGCTTCAATGTAAACACTTGATCTACTCATCCCCTACCCACTCTGAAGCCTCCTTGCTCATCCACAATTCTACATTCTGTCTTACCTCTAATTCTTTCAATTATAACCCTACCGTACACTTTTCCTGGTATATTCAGTAAACTTATTCCTCTATAATTTTTAGAATCTCTTTTGTTCCCCTTCCCTTTATATAAAGGAACTATACATGCTCTCTGCCAATCCCTAGGTACCTTCCCCTCTTTTATACATTTATTAAACAAAAATGCCAACCACTCCAACACTATATCCGCCCCTGCTTTTAACATTTCTGTCATGATCCCGTCAGTTCCAGCTGCTTTACCCCCTTTCATTCTACGTAATGCCTCACGCACCTTCCACACTCACATCCTGTTCTTCTTCACTCCTAAAAGATGGTATACCTCCCTGGCCAGTGCATGAAATTACAGCTTACCTTTCTTCGTCGACATGTAAAAGTTCCTCAAAATATTCTCGCCATCTACCCAAAACCTCCATCTCCCCATCTACTAACTCCCCTACTCTGTTTTTAACTGACAAATCTATTCGTTCTCTAGGCTTTCTTGTTTAACTCACTCCAAATTTTTTTCTAATTTTCATTAAAATTTCTTGACAGTGCCTCTCCCACTCTATCATCTGCTCTCCTTTTGCACTCTCTCACCACTCTCTTCACCTTTCTTTTATTCTCCATATACTCTACTCTTTTTATAACACTTCTGCTTTGTAAAATCTTCTCATAAGCTAACTTTTTCACTTTTATCACACCCTTTACTTCATCATTCCACCAATCACTCCTCTTTCCTCCTGCACCCACTCCTATAACCACAAACTTCTGCCCCACATTCTAATACTGCATTTTTAAAACAATTCCAACTCTCTTCAACCCCCCCCACTACTCATACTTGCACCAGCCTACCTTTCTGCCAATAGTTGCTCATATCTCACCCGAACTTCCTCCTCCCTTAGTTTATACACTTTCACCTCCCTCATGCTTGTTGTTGCCATTTTCCTCTTTTTCCCATCTAGCTCTTACTCTAACTGTAGCTACAACTTAATAATGATCCGATATATCAGTTGCCCCTCTATAAACGTGTACATCTTTGAGCCTACCCATCAGCCTTTTATCCACCAGTACATAATCTAACAAACTACTTTCAATACGTGCTATATCATACCTTGTATATTTATTTATCCTCTTCTTCATAAAATATGTATTACCTATTACAAAATCTCTTTATACACATTGGTCAATTAAAGGCTCCCCATTTTCATTTATCCCTGGCACCCCAAATTTACCTACTACTCCCTCCACAACCTTTTTGCCCACTTTAGCATTGAAATCGCCAACCACCATTACTCTCACACTTGGTTCAAAACTCCCCACGCATTCACTCAACATTTCCCAAAATCTCTCTCTCTCTCTCTCTACACTTCTCTCTTCTCCAGGTGCATATACACTTACTATAACCCACTTTTCACATCCAACCTTTATTTTACTCCACATAATCCTTGAATTAATACATTTATAGTCCCTCTTTTCCTGCCATAACTTATCCTTCAACATTATTGCTACTCCTTCTTTAGCTCTAACTCTATTTGAAACCCCTGACCTAATCCCATATATTCCTCTCCACTGAAACTCTCCCACCCCCTTCAGCTTTGTTTCACTTAAATCCAGGACATCCAACTTCTCATTCATAACATCCACAATCATCCCTTTCTTATCATTTGCACAATATCCTCACACATTCAGACTTCCCACTTTGACAATTTTCTTCTTATTCTTCTTAGTAATTATTACAGGAAAAGTGGTTACTAGCCCATTGTTCCCGGCATTTTAGTTGACTTTTACAACATGCATGGCTTACAGAGGAAAGATTCTTATACCACTTCCCCATGGATATAAAAGGAAAAGTAATAAGACCAAGAACTATTAAGATAAAATTAAAGAAACTTAGATGAGTTTGTATAAATAAACATGTACATGTATGTGTAGTGTGACCTAAGTGTAAGTAGAAGTAGCAAGACATACCTGTAATCTTGCATATTTATGAGACAGACAAAAGACACCAGCAATCCTACCATCATGTAAAACAATTACAGGCTTTCGTTTCACACTCACTTGGCAGGACGGTAGTACCCCCCTCCTGGGTGGTTGCTGTCTACCAACCTACTACCTAGGCATGTGCCATTTCACCACAGTCCTCCCTCTCACACCACATGCCCACACTTTGCTTCCATTACTAGAAGTCTCTTTCTGATTCCTAGGCACCTTCGATCCTCACCATACACTCCCACTCCAGGCACCTGGGGAGGGACCTCATCTCAGGTGCATATAGTCAAATTGAAGAATTCCTTTTTTTTGTAATTCATGTGATTTGATAATACAGTGTTTTTTACTGGAGGTTATTTCATGATTAGCTATGTTTATTCAGGTTTTTTCATGGGGCCCATTATCTTTATAATTGATGAGTGATTCCTAAATTAAAAAATAACCATAGGATTTAGTTTTCTGGCCATAGTGTTTTTTTTACACACCAGCTGTCTACAGGATAAGGTGACCTGAAAAAGAAGCAGCATTTTCACTATCACTCTTTTGGCAGAAGTGCATTGATAACTGCAGTTCAGATGCCCCTCCAAACTACAAATATCCCCACCCATCCTTCAGGGCATGGGCACTGTACCATCCACTTCCAGGACTCAAGTCCGCTAACCAGTTTCCCTGAATCCCTTCATAAATGTGACCGTTCTCACACTCCAACAGCGTGTCGAGTTATAGAAACCACATGCCTCCACTCCTGCCTAGCATACTCACACATGCCTGCTGGATGTCCAAGCCCCTCACATACAAAACTTACTTTACCCTCTCCTACCTTTCCTAGGGTGACCCCCTACTCTGCCTTCCCTCCACTACAGATTTATACACTGTTGAAGTCATCCTGTTTTGCTCCATAGATTTTTATTTTATTTTATTATCACACTGGCCGATTCCCACCAAGGCAGGGTGGCCCGAAAAAGAAAAACTTTCACCATCATTCACTCCATCACTGTCTTGCCAGAAGGGTGCTTTACACTACAGTTTTTAAACTGCAACATTAACACCCCTCCTTCAGAGTGCAGGTAGTAGGTTGGTAGACAGCAACCACCCAGGGAAGTACTACCGTCCTGCCAGATGACTGTGAAACAGAAACCTGTAACTGTTTTGCATGATGGTAGGATTGCTGGTGTCTTTTTCTGTCTCATAAACACGCTAGATAACAGGGATATCTTGCTACTCCAACTTACACTTTGGTCACACTTCACAGACATGCACATGCATATATATATACATACATCTAGGTTTTTCCTAGGTAGTAGGTTGGTAGACAGCAATGGCCCAGGGAGGTACTACAGTCCTGCCAAGTGAATGTAAAACTGAAGCCTGTAACTGTTTTACACGATGGTAGGATTGCTGGTGTCTTTTTTTTTCTGTCTCATACACATGCAAGATTTCAGGTATGTCTTGCTACTTCTACTTACACTTAGGTCACACTACACATACATGTACAAGCATATATATACACACCCCTTTGGGTTTTCTTCTATTTTCTTTCTAGTTCTTCTTCTTTATTTCCTCTTACCTCCATGGGGAAGTGGAACAGAATTCTTCCTCCGTAAGCCATGCATGTTGTAAGAGGCGACTAAAATGCCGGGAGCAAGGGGCTAGTAACCTCTTCTCCTGTATATATTACTAAATGCAAAAGGAGAAACTTTCGTTTTTCCTTTTGGGCCACCCCGCCTCGGTGGGATACAGCCGGTGTGTTGAAAGAAAGATCTAGGTTTTTCTCCTTTTTCTACATAGCTCTTGTTCTTCTTTATTTCTTCTATTGTCCATGGGGAAGTGGAAAAGAATCTTTCCTCCGTAAGCCATGCGTATTGTATGAGGCGACTAAAATGCCGGGAGCAATGGGCTAGTAACCCCTTCTCCTGTAGACATTTACTAAAAAAGAGAAGAAGAAAAACTCCATAGATATATGACCAAAAATCTATTTACAAATTCCAACAGGCAAAATTTCTCATTTTCCATTGATTCTGGATTTGCATCACCACCATGAATCTAATCCCCACAAATTATGAACTTTGACTGTACACCTCTTTAATTTCACTGTTTAAAAGGAAATTTGATATGAAATATTGTCTTGGAATGTATCTAAGATTATGACATGGGTTTCTGTGAGAATAAAGGTTGTAAGTATTCACTACATTACAAACTTTTTTGTAGAAATGCATCTCATTTGTTAGCTAGGCACCCTTTATTTAATGCACTGTAATAAGTTTTTCATGTTTATTATTCTTTCTATCTTTCAACAAACCGGCCGTATCCCACTGAGGTGGGGTGGCCCAAAAAGAAAAACTAAAGTTTCTCCTTTTACATTTAGTAATTTATACAGGAGAAAGGGTTACTAGCCCCTTGCTCCTGGCATTTTAGTCGCCTCTTACAACACGCATGGCTTACGGAGGAAGAATTCTGTTCCACTTCCCCATGGAGATAAGAGGAAACAAACAAGAAAAAGAACTAGAAAGAAAATAGCAGAAAACCCAGAGGGATGTGTATATATATGCTTGTACATGTATGTGTAGTGTGACCTAAGTGTAAGTAGAAGTAGCAAAACGTACCTGAAATCTTGCATGTTTATGAGGCAGAAAAAAGGACACCAGCAATCCTACCATCATGTAAAACAATTACAGGCTTTCATTTTGCACTCACATAGCAGGACGGTAGTACCTCCCTGGGCGGTTGCTGTCTACCAACCTACAACCTAATATGTTTATTATTGATTTGTAAAATTTTGAATATGTTTAATATGTACATGTCAATACATTTTGTCTTTTTGAAGGTACATGTTGAGGCTTTGTCATCTGCGGACTTAGAGTTTATTCTGAGCATGATGTATCCAGACCTACCATATGAAATAATTTCAAATATGGTAAAGTTCAATCAGTCTATCGCAGAAATTTTGAACCAAGGATTATGGGGTATTTGTGGTGGACCATGGGAGCTAAACCTGCGAGATATGTTCAGGTAATTATGATTTTCGGTAAGGTGTATTCCATTTTTAGTCTTGTTTAATAGTATTCTTTTGCCTTTCACCATTGTTTCTCCTTGGCTCTTTGTAAATATTGACTGAAGCAATGAATGTCCAATTTTCATAACTATGTGCATTGTGGAAATAAACTTTTCTTGTTAACCCATTCAGTGGCATCCAAGCAGAACTTCGTCATTGAGGCCAGAGTCCCTCGCATAGTTTTGCGTCATGCACTCAACTCACTTGGATAAACTGTAAGTGGTAAATTTTGGCTTATATATGAGAGAATGGTTTTGTGCAGTGAGTGTACACAGCATAAAAAAAATCCTGCCTCATGTGGTGCATGATGGAAAAAGCAAAACACTGACTGTGCGTTTGGTTTAAGTAGTGATTTTGAGGTGGTTTTTATGGTTTTATTGGCTGTATCATTTAATAGAGAGGATTTTGATTGGTCAGGTATGTTTACAATTGCTTATGTATTAATTTTTCTTATATTTATGATAATATTGGAAGATTAGCAATCAGTCTGTAATTATTAGCATAAGTTGAATCACCATCTTTGTGGATGGGTGTTAGCCTAGCGCTCTTGAGAGCATTGTGGAAGATTTGTTCCTCATGTGATTTGTTGAAGAGTAATGCTATAGCTGGAGATTATACGTATGCAGCTTTTTCTAATATAATAGGCAGTTCATTTGCACTATCGCTAGTATTTTTAAGTGAAGCTATTTCTGCAGGGGTTATTAGAAGTCGAGTAGAAAGAATTAGTATAATTACATGTCAGATAGCTGTTGTTGAGTTTCAGGAATGTTGTTTGCAAGAGTAGTTCCTACTTTAGTAGTTTTTTATAAGTTTGTTCACATTGTCAGTAGTTGATGCCTATTTCAGGCCACTTCTGCATTGAAACCAACCAAAATGATCTCCATTTCACTAGTATTTTTCCCAGTTTATCAGGTAACAGTAAGATGGCCAATAAAACTATGAAAATCACGCTAGCAAATGCCTTAAAGTTTCTATTTTAGTCAAAACGCAAAGTCAGAGGTTAGCTGTTCCAATCATGCACTGCATAGTGCAAGATTTGTTTTTTTTTTATAATGTGTTAACCCACTGCATAGACACATTCTTTCATTTCTAAGCCAAAATTTGCCATCACTGCATATTTGAGGATGCTATGATTAAGATGAACATATATGTAACTACTGTCATCAAAAACTTTTGTGTGTGTGTGTGTGTGTGTGTGTGTGTGTGTGTGTGTGTGTGTGTGTGTGTGTGTGTGTGTGTGTGTGTGTGTGTGTGTGTGTGTGTGTGTCTTACACATCGGCCATTTCCCAATAAGAAAGAAAAGACCCAAAAAAGAAAGAGAAATACTTTCATCATCATTCACTACTTCCTCCATCACTCATACATAATCACTGTCTTTGCAGAAGTGCTCAGATACGACAGTTTAGAAATCCCTCCAAACTGCCAATATCCCAGACCCCTCCTTTAAAGTGCAGGCATTGTACTTCCCATTTCCAGGACTCAAGTCTGGCTAACTGGGTTCCCTGAATCCCTTCACAAAACATTACCCTGCTCACAGTCCAACAGCTCATCAGGTCCCAAAAACCATTTGTCTCCATTCACTCCTATCTAACATGCTCATACATGCTTGCTGGAAGTCCAAGCCCCTAGCCCTCAAAACCTCCTTTACTGCCTCCCTCCAAGATTTTTGAGGACGACTCCTACCCTGGGAGACAGTGAAAGGGTTAAAGAATGCGATGATTTTTATGTTTCTACAATACAGTTGTACCCTGAGTTTTGGCCATAATTCGTTCCAGAAGGCTGTTCGAGTGCCATTACCGAATGAATTTGTTCCCATAAGGAATAATGTAAATTAGATTAGTCCATTTCAGACCCCCCAAAAATACACTTACAAAAGCACTTACTATAATACACTTACATAACTGTTTGAGTTGGGAGCTGTGCGAAACTCGGGGGTACCGCTTTACTTTATTCCAGCCTCCTAATCAACACATTGCTTTGGTTATGAATGTTAAATGTATACTAATTGTGAAATGGTAATGAAAATATGATTAGTATTTGATAAATATTTTCTCTTCACAGTTTCTTTCACCTGTATGTATCATTGCATTTACGTATTGGCATTATGGTATGTTATGACTGAATATAAAATTTTGCTTAATATCAGCAGTCAGACCTAACCTAATTTGAAAAACATTTAGAGAGAAAGTTGCTTAGAACATACATCAAAATTTGATATTTACTTCAGGAGGAGAGGTTGAATGCTTAAAGGCCTACCATTATCTTTGTGAATCTTTGTAAATGATGTTGGATGGGTCACTTCACTGTCTATGAGTGATGTTGCCTGCTTTACCACACAATGTTTGTAGGTGATGTTTCCAGCTTCACCACACTGAATGTTTGAAGCTTACATTGCAAGCTTCACTATACAGAATATTTGAAGCTGGTATTACAAGCTTTACCACACAGAATGTTTAAAGCTGACATTGCAAGCTTCATCACACTGAATATTTACAGGTGACACTGGTAGCTTCACCACACTGTGGAAAACTTACAGCATTTTTTGAAAATTTTAACAAGCACGCTGGCCGTCTCTCACTGATAACTTACAAAACCGGTTCCTTTCCTTAGAAATCAGGCTTGTATAATTAAGCTATAATTTCTCATTGCAGGAGCTTGGAATACTGTAGACTTGACAGATTCTCTGCAAACCAAATGGCTTAAGCATTTCTTAAGTGTATGAAATTGTGTGTGTGTGTGTGTGTGTGTGTGTACTCACCTAGTTGTACTCACCTAGTTGAGGTTGCAGGGGTCAAGTCCGAGCTCCTAGCCTCGCCTCTTCACTGATCGCTACTAGGTCACTCTTCCTGAACTGTGAGCTTTATCATACCTCTGCTTAAAGCTATGTATGGATCCTGCCTCCACTACATCACTTCCCAAACTATTCCACTTACTGACTACGAAGAAATATTTCCTAACATCGCTGTGATTCATCTGTGTCTACAACTTCCAACTGTGTCCCCTTGTTACTGTGTCCAATCTCTGGAACATCCTGTCTTTCTCCACCTTGTCAATTCCTCTCAGTATTTTGTATGTCGTTATCATGTCCCCCCTATCTCTCCTGTCCTCCAGTGTCGTCAGGTTGATTTCCCTTAACCTCTCCTCGTAGGATGTACTTCTTAGCTCTGGGACTAGTCTTGTTGCAAACCTTTGCACTTTCTCTAGTTTCTTTACTTGCTTGGCTAGGTGTGGGTTCCAAACTGGTGCCGCATACTCCAATATGGGCCTAACGTACACGGTGTACAGGGCCCTGAACGATTCCTTATTAAGATGTTGGAATGCTGTTCTGAGGTTTGCTAGGTGCCCATATGCTGCAGCCATTATTTGGTTGATGTGCACTTCAGGAGATGTGCCTGGTGTTATACTCACTCCAAGATCTTTTTCCTTGAGTGAAGTTTGTAGTCTCTGGCCACCTAGACTGTACTCTGTCTGCGGTCTTCTTTGCCCTTCCCCAATCTTCATGACTTTGCACTTGGTGGGATTGAACTCCAGGAACCAATTGCTGGACCAGGTCTGCAGCCTGTCCAGATCCCTTTGTAGTTCTGCCTGGTCTTCGATCGAGCGAATTCTTCTCATCAACTTCACGTCATCTGCAAACAGGGACACCTCAGAGTCTATTCCTTCCATCATGTCGTTCACAAATAGTACCAGAAACAGCACTGGTCCTAGGGCTGACCCCTGTGGGACCCCGCTGGTCACAGGTGCCCACTCTGACACCTCGCCACATACCATGACTCGCTGCTGTCTTCCTGACAAGTATTCCCTGATCCATTGTAGTGCCTTCCCTGTTATCCCTGCTTGGTCCTCCAGTTTTTGCACTAATCTCTTGTGTGGAACTGTGTCAAACGCCTTCTTGCAGTCCAAGAATATGCAATCCACCCACCCCTCTCTCTCTTGTCTTACTGCTGTCACCATGTCATAGAACTCCAGTAGGTTTGTGACACAGGATTTCTTGTCCATGAAACCATGTTGGCTGCTGTTAATGAGATCATTCCTTTCTAGGTGTTCCACCACTCTTCTGATAATCTTCTCCATGATTTTGCATACTATACATGTCAGTGACACTGGTCTGTAGTTTAGTGCTTCATGTCTGTCTCCTTTTTTAAAGATTGGGACTACATTTGCTGTCTTTCATGCTTCAGGCAGTCTCCCTGTTTCGATAGTTGTATTGAACATTGTTGTTAGGGGTACACACAGTGCCTCTGCTCCCTCTCTCAGGACCCATGGGGAGATGTTATCTGGCCCCATTGCCTTTGAGGTATCTAGGTCATTCAGAAGCCTCTTCACTTCTTCCTTGGTTGTGTGCACTGTGTCCAGCACTTGGTGGTGTGCCCCACCTCTCCGTCTTTCTGGAGCCCCTTCTGTCTCCTCTGTGAACACTTTTTTGAATCTCTTGTTGAGTTCCTCACGTACTTCACGGTCATTTCTTGTTGTCTCTCCTCCTTCCTTCCTTAGCCTCATTACCTGGTCCTTGACTGTTGTTTTCCTCCTGATGTGGCTGTATAACAGTTTCGGGTCAGATTTGTCTTTCGCTGCTATGTCGTTTTCATATTGTCTTTGGGCCTCCCTTCTTATCTGTGCATATTCGTTTCTGGCTCTACGACTGCTCTCCTTATTCTCCTGGGTCCTTTGCCTTCTATATTTCTTCCATTCCCTAGCACACTTGGTTTTTGCCTCCCTCCACCTTTAGGTGAACCATGGGCTCATCCTGGCTTTTTCATTATTCCTGTTACCCTTGGGTACAAACCTCTCCTCAGCCTCCTTGCATATTGTTGCTACATATTCCATCATCTCATTAACTGGCTTCCCTGCTAGTTCTCTGTCCCACTGAACCCCATTCAGGAAGTTCCTCATTCCCGTGTAGTCCCCTTTCTTGTAGTTTGGCTTCATTCGTCCTGGCCTTCCTGCTTCTCCCTCC